GTAGTTTAATTTAATTATAATTATTATAATAATTTTTATTTTATGTTATTTTTTAAAATTTTTAATTTTATTTATTTTTTATTTATTTATTTTATTATTTATTTTTATTTATTTATTTATTTATTTATTTTTTTGGGGCAGCAGTAGATCAGGCTGTAGGGACTTGGGTTGGGAACCGGAGGGTCGCCAGTTCAAGTCCCGGTGCGGATCAAATATAGAAGTTGGTCTGGTAGCTGGAGAGGTGCCAGATCGCTTCCTGAGCACCGCTGAGGTGCCCTTGAGCAAGGCACCAAACCCCCTACCCACCACCAGCTCAGGAGCGCCTACCGGGGGCGGCTCCATCACTCTGACATTTCTCCATTAGTGCATGTCCATAAGATCCTGTTTGTGCATGTGTGTGTATATTTCAGCCTATGTGTGTGTTGCATGACTTACAGAGTGTAAAAACAGAATTTCCTCTTGCGGGATCAATAAAAGTAAATCTTAAGCTAAACATTATCAGGGTGCTGGTGGTGCAATGGTTAGTGCGCGCGCCCCATGTATGGAGGCGGCCCGGGTTCACATCCCACCCGTGGCCTCCCTCCTGCACCTCACTCCCCACTCTCTATCCCTGTTTTCTGACTCTATCCACTGTCCTGTCTCTCCATTAAAAGCACAAAAAGCCCCAAAATAATTGGAGATTTAAAAAATCTTAACATTATTAACATTTTCTGTTGCCTTGAGTGAAGGCAACTTCATGACAGCTTTGGTGATTGATTCAGCAGCAGAGTATTGGAATTTTCCAATACTTCTATACTGCAGCATTATGATAAAATGCAAATGAAACTTTGCAAAACTGTACTTGCAGTTCATTTTTGGCCGAGGCAAATCATTTTGACCTTGTTTTTATAGTATGTATTTTCAAAGTACAGCTGATGTTGTTTTTGCCTCTGACACAAATAGTATACAATATTTTGTTTCAAGATGAAATTCAATGTTTCACACTGCATGACCAAGCCAGGATGGGAAGATAGCCTCCTAATCAAAACTGCTTATCTTTACACATGCAAAGATAAAATTCAATTTCAGAGATGTTAGTCCTTCTCAGAAGTGAAACCACAAAATGTGATAATTAACATGAAAGGTCATAAGTAGTCTGACTTGGTGTGTTGCCTCAAACGATATGTTTAATGTAATCAAACAGATCTAAGATAGTTTTTTTTCCTGGAATGCAAACTGTGCACAAACTATAGAGCAAACACAACTCAGTGAAATCACATGGCATCAAAGGATGTACGCTCTTTCACGGGTTGTATTTTCAAGGCTTGTCAGTTTTATATGAAGCAGTAAAATTGTGCTATTGTGAGGCATCTGTGGTTGCTTATTCACAGAAGTGTGAAAGTAATAGAGGTGTGCTGATATAACAGCATTAATGTTGACATACTGACAGATGGGAAACTGTTGGCAGATGATGGTCCGGCAGGTGTTTGATGATGATCATCTGTTTTAATGACAACTTGTAGGCTGGACTAGAAATGCATTTTTCCATACATTATACAATTATTTATAATCTACAGTTTTTTGTCAAGGCCATCTAGTATACAATAAATACATGTCTATTTAGAATACACAGATGGTCCAGAGGTCGCACCTCACAGCTCTGTGGTCATATGTATCTCACATCTACAGTAAATATACGATTTATACGATGAAGTTGGAGGCTGGAGGTCTCACCACAGATTAAAGTGTCGGTCATGGAGACATTAGATATTCCATTAGTTGAGACCTGCGTCCCAGTGTGCTCAGTAAATCATGGACCTGTGCAGTGTGCGGTTAATGTTGTGTACTGCTGTGTGGAGTCTGGAGAGGAAGCTGTCTTCCAGTTGAGTCGGACAGAGTATGATTTATCATACAGGTGACCAGATGAAGCTCTTCTTCTACAATATGTGCTTTTCTTTTGTTTACGTTTTAGCTTTAACTTTTTTACTGTAACAATGGCTGTAACAATGTAACAATGGCAGAATTCATGAATACATCCAATTCATGAATTTGAACACTTTATGTGGGAGTCATGAAGGAATAGTTCAACCTTTGTCCGCTGTGCTATGTGTGTCATTCATCAGCGTCCAGCAATCACATTGATTTTGAACAAGTCTCCAAGCCTTCTCTTGCTACCGACATGTTTGTAAGCATCTCTTCTTCAGCTACTGACATCAAACAAGAGAAGCTACAAGCAGACAGCACCCCCTGCTGGTTAAAGAGAGTACTGCAATATATATTTTTGTCAAATAGATTCAAATTGTCCATGTTTGCATTAAGTTGGAGTTGTATTGTGAGGTGTCTTTACAGCCCTAATCTCTTTAGAACTGAACAGGAACAGGGGCCCAGTTTGTATATCTCAACATAATGAGATTGAAAAACATCTCATATGGACCGGAGTCTGTCACTCTAACGCCATGTCTTGCCAGCACGCCATCGTTGGATATGATGTTTTATCATGCTGCATCCATCTGTATCTCACAGGCTTTTAGCACACTCAAAAAGGAAACAATGGAATCAAGATGATTTTGGAGCTGAAGCTCGCTTGCATTGCATTCTGTTTTTTTTTTCTTCTAGGAAAATTCCTAAACATATTTTTTTGATTCATGGGAACTCTATTACCAACAAATCATTGCCACATATAGAAGCAGCTCATACATCCATAAATCAGGACATAGTTTCATGCCATATTTTGCAGCAAAAACTGTTAAAACAAAATCCAACAGGCAAACTATATGGATATCTAAATGCCTTAAAGCCAGAAATCTGATTTATGGCCTCTGTAGCTGGAAGTAAGATTTCCATAGAGAAGATATAAAGCAGACTCTCAGGGCCTCTGCTCTCCAAGCTTTACTAAAGCCACAATGAGGATGGGGCCATAAAACATGAGGTCCAACAGATGCACAGTGACGACATCCACAGTCCATTATACAGCCTGTTAAAAACACTCAGGCAGCTCTCTAACCCACTGTCACCTCAGCCCCTTCACTCTTCACTGGGTTTTTGTCTGCTGGAGGACAGAGTTATGGCTCAAAGTGACTTCCTCCGAGTTCAGCTCTGCCGCAGCTCACAATGCTGATCAATGAAAAGGGAACGCCTTCTTCCATCAACGCAGATGTTCTTTGTTCCCTGACAGATGTGTCCAACTTTATGTTCTCTTCCTTTCCTCTACCTCTCTTTGCTTTTACGAGCCTCTGCTGTTTGATTTTCTGAGAGCTGAAAGGAAAGGAGAAAAAGGATTTACAATCGTAGCGCAGAAGGTTTGGGTGTATAGGACCAAAGCGTATGGCCTTGTTGGAGGTTTAAAGTGATGTCTGCTCTGAGAGACAGGATGAAGAAGCTGCGTCACGTCCTCATGGCTTGAGAGCAACTGCAGCACAGGGACCATGAAACTGGCCTCACCAGTTCTGTGTTGTCATCATAAGTGATTTGATTAGAAAATAGATATAATCAGATTTCATCTCGAGAATGAAAGGCGTCATGGTGTGTGATACGAGACAACTTGATGACGGCATCACTGCAGGGTAGGTTTTGAACTCGGCAGTGGTGTTGTTCTAATTACAAATCAGGAGATGTAGAAGCCCGACAGTTTTCTGTTTCTCTCTGAAACAGTGGTGTACAATTTTCAAATGTTAGTCTGGTTTGTCCAAGCCAAACCAAAGTTTTCTTTAGTACACAATCCTGGCCCGCTTTAGTCCCTTTAAGAGTAATCTACAGCGAGGGAAGGTTAGCGTATCCTCCTCCTAAGTAATTGTTCATATCTTTCTATCATAAGCTGACGATTCTACATAAACAAACTGCTGTCTATCTGCTCAAACATCAGTCTCTCGCCAAACAAACCTTGAACAGTTCCTCTTGCCTTCTCTCTTTCCGCCCTGCTAAGTTTGGGCCTCTGCTTTGTCGTAATGACGGACAAATGTGTTTAGAATTTTGCACAAGTAAGCTTTTAAAGATGAGTGGGCAGAAGTCTGGGTTTTTTCCATTGGAAGTTTACTTCTTCAGAGGAATTATACAGGAATAGGATATTGAGTCAGAATGTGCTGACTCTGTACATGTGGCCAACCACAGATTGAAGCACCACTCAAAGCAGACAGAACCTCTTATAACTCAAAAGGGAGAAGGGGTTTTTTCTGATAATGCAGGAGACAACAGTGGGCCCCCCCCCCCAACTCCCATTGTGCTTCTTTCCCTCCAAGACAAATCATTCCTCTTCTTATTCCTTCAGTGGTTTTTACAGGAGTAATGCATGACATGCTTAGCATGGCAACGAGAGTGAGTGCTGTCAGATGGGGGAGTTTAGGGAGGTTTCCTATTGTCCTTGCAAAATTTGCACATTTTGAAATACTGCTGGGGTTTAAAGTTTGTCAGCCCTCAGGGGGCCCCTTACTGGCCTGGCGCCCCAAGCATGTTGCCTGCCTTGCCTGTTGACAAGCACCGCCTCTGATCATTATTTGGGATAGAAAGGGTAAAAAAAATTAAATGTATTTGCGCGTGTGTGCCCTCAAACTTCATGCCACCTCTACAAAAGTCAGTGCCCAAGGTGGGCCACCGAAGTCAAAAAAAAAGTCTGGACACGCCCCTGGTTACAGTGCAACTTATTATTTCTCTGGTTAATAGGCTATTGGTTAAAACAGTTTTTTCGAGAGAGGTCAGAAACTGGGAATCTTGCATGATGACATTTTTTAAGCTTTTTTTTGGACTTCATCATGAGATGAGATTGCATTTCAGTAGGATATTCTCTGAAACTTTAATTTGGTACTTTCAATTTATCTAATCTGAAACTAAGGAAGCATAGACATGGACATGGCATCAAAAGCAAACTAAAGAAAGAAAAATCAAGTAGACTATTGCTCCTGAGGAGATGGTTTTCCTTTTGCAACTCTGAGCATTCTTTGCATAATAATACCCTGTGTTGTCAAAGAGGGAGGAAGGAAGGAGGGAGGAAGGAAAGGGGAGGAAACTGTGCAGAAAGAGGAGCAACTGCTGATCCAGTCAAAGTGAAGTGAAATGTTAGATTTAGGAAAGTGTACGAGGAGAGAGCTTATACTTTTAGAGATGTGGCATTAATCTTTGGACTTTTTTTTGGAACATGTTACTCTGCGTGTTGAAAGGGATGACGTGGAAAATAAACGCTTGTGGGATCAATACCACCAAATCAATTTTACAGGGGGCGGTATCTTTGACTTGTGTAAAGCCTATTTTTCCTCAAATCATGCCACGTTTGAGATTACGCCTGTTGTGAGCTGAGCTGTCATCCTCCTCTTCACAAACACAGCTGCTGCTGCATTGAGAGGACCGACAGAAAACTTAGTAAAAGTCCTCTTGTCGTTTGTGCGTCTTGCTGCTGTCCGCCCCGGCAGAGCAGCATGCGGGACTGACGTGTGAGGAATGGCATCGGCTGTGTTTGAAGGCACGTCGCTGGTCAACATGTTTGTGCGGGACTGCTGGGTCAACGGGATCCGCAGACTCATCATCAGCCAGCGGGGAGAGGAAGAGGACTTCTTCGAGATCAGGACCGAGTGGTCCGACAGGAATATTTTGTACTTGCACCGGAGTTATTCGGATCTGGGACGGCTTTTTAAAAGACTTGGGGAGTCCTTTCCTGAAGACAGAAGAGATCTGTCCAAGTGTCCGCTGATAGAAGGTGGGTGTGATGGTGAATTACAGAGTGAGAGCCTGTATCATTATAAGGCAGACAGCGGGGTTAGAGCATTGAAAACAGTCTGTGAGAAGGAAAACACTTTGAGCAGGGGCGTAGCTACTAAAACTCTGGGGCCTGAGTTCAGGAGCCCCCCCCCCAAAAAAAAAACAAAAAAAAAACAAACCGTTTAAATAAGATTGTACAAAAAGTGGATAGCTCGTTGGTTCATGAGTTTTGAAGCCTCAATAAAAGCCTTATAAAAGGCTGTCCCACAATAACTTTTGGTCAACCAATCAATAGGCAAAGAAGTGGAGCTAAGTCTTAGCCTGAATTGAATCAAAGATGGAAAAAAATCAGCCCCGTACAGTGTGTTGTCTTACCGCTAAAAACACAATCTATTCACATCAAAACTGTTTTTCTGAACCAGCCTGACAAACTGTCATAATGTCAAAATAGTTAACACATTACCTATCGCTGATTACAACTCTGTTCGATTCATGTCAGACAGATTGTGTTTGGCAGTGGTGCTTGTTACACAACGAGGGCAACAACTCCCATAATGCAACATTCGCAACCCCCTCCTGAAGATCTTGTTTTCAATAAGAAACGAAAGAAATACGTTTCTTTTAATTACAGAAATAACAATAAATTTGGAAATTGAGTTTCTGTCTTTGAGTGTTCATGGAACAACTACTCTCAGCTCAACTTCAATCTGTTCACTTTTGGATTTGGAAAGTTTTCTAAAGCTGCATATTCGGTTCCACCAAACATGGGAAATTTCTCAATTGTGGATTCTGGAGAGGAAATCTTTGTTTTGGCCTGCACAGGAAAACCCCTGCAAAGTGATATTCTTGATACGAGGGTAGCACAACAGCTGCGGTTTTTTGCTTTTGGGAAAGTATTTCAGTGGATTATAGTCAGACCATGCTGCCAAACAGGCTGTGGGAATAATGAACCACTTTTAAATGTATGATTGAGAACCATGAGGACAAGATGGTAGGTAGGGTAGATGGTACTTTTATGCATTGATTGCTGCACGGTCAGGCTTAACTTGGATCAAGGAAACTCGATTGATAAGTTTAGGGAGACAAAAAAAAGGAAACCACAATCAATACAGGTCACGATAGGTTTGAGCTAATCTGAACTAAATTGCTTCAAAGCTCAAAATACAAGCTTTTGTTTGGACATGTTAATATTTAACTAAATCCTTTTTCCAATGTCACTTTAGCAGACCTACGAGTAGACCACAAGACAAACATGCTGACATCATATCTCTAAATCCCTGTCAATATTTGGGGGCTTAAAGGCCGAAGGGTCTGTGAGGCCTTTCTTTCATCACTTTTTGGCCTAAAAGTTGGACTCCTAAACATCCTTACTCTTTAGGAGGAGATATTACTGGGCGGCTGAATTAATATCTGGGGCGTAGGATCTGATGCAACAATCAGAGGCCAGCATTTTAAACATCCAAAATAGAAGAAGAAGTTCTTATGTATAATGACTTTGCAGAGAAATGACTGGGATTGTGAAACATACCTGTGGGGTCAGAGTTCCAGGTGCTGTTCATAGACTGTATAAAATAAAAATGGGCCCAGACTCAGTGACGTCACCCACTTGTTTCTGAAACAGAGTTTTGAAGCCCAACAATAGTGGTCGCCATGTTGGAAATGTCTTCTCAAACTGACTTTTGATCAACCCAGCAACGGACAATTCTTAACAAAAATAGTTTTTTGAACCAGGCTTTAAACATGTTTATATCTGAAGTAGAAATAGGTTTTAAAACATGGATGTGAATGTGATTTGTGAATTTGTGAATAGAGTCAGAAATCAAGGAGAGAGAGAGAGAGTGGGGAATGACATGCGGGAAAGGAGCCAAAGGAACACGGGCATCCCGCCCAGAGGACCACAGCCTCTGCACATTGGGCACACGCACTAACCTCTTGGCTATCAGCGGCCAGAACTGCAGTTTTTTTACTTCTTCATTGGCTTCATTTTTACCAGAGGCCGCTACTTGTTGCTGCCCCAATCTCAAAACATCGACGTTTAAGTTAACATTATGCTAGAACTGGTATTGTTTGTTCTGGCCCTCAGTGTGCAATTCACTCTCTCTCCAACAACTTAAGAGCCAGTCTTGCAGCCAGGCCTCTGACTTGGCCACTGCTATTTTTGTCCAAGTAAGAGAATACCATTGAGGTTGTTTTGAGACTACCAAAACTGAGACTGACACAAAAACACAAAAACAAAAACAGCTGTAGGATTGACATAATTCAACAATTACTTGATATGGTGGCCAATAAGGGGATTTTTCTTTATCCAGAATGAAAGTTAACTACTTTTTTTTGCCCACATTTGATTATGCAAAGACACTCAGAAGGCTGCTTTCTTTGAAAATGTTTCTAAACATGACTTGTATTAAATAATATGCAGCATTGTATTTACTTTCTACCACTTCCAGTGTGGACTGGTGTCTACCAAGCTGTGATGCTCTGCTACCTGTGGGCTTTCTAAAGGACAGTCCTTGGCCGTATGAAGCCCAAACCTTTGGCCCTCAGGGTCTGGATCTTTGACACTGTGGTGCTGTGACACTGCCAACAAGTCTGGCAGAGGTCCCACCTTGTTCAGTGTGTATGATCTCCCCACAAAGTCTCCTTGGCATTTGCCTTTTGTCTCTACCCACTGAGCCTGTACGAATGTTTTGGAAACGTCCCTTTAGTGGCGGCTGGAAAGCTTTGCTTCCTGCTCAGGCCCTGAAATAGCTGACATCTTGTTGACAGCTCAGTGCTTTATGGCTACCAGAGCAGTCTGTGGTGCATTTTGGGAAGGGGCATTTTGGACCTTGTGACTCACTTTTCACTTCTTTTTTTTTTTTTTTTACTGTCTATTCCTCTTCGAATCATGAGCAAAGCTAAAAAAAAAAGACTAATGGAGATTGATAGCAGCATTCAAGGAGGCATTTGTTTTACTTTATTGACTCAAGCAAATTAGACAACTCAATAATGTAAGGAAGGAACAGAGTTAATGACAATCCCGGTTCAATATTTCATTTGCATCCTGAATTGCCCTTCGTATTTAAAGTCCCATGCTTTGGCCTTTCCTCAGTCCACTTTGCTCCAGATTCTGGCTCTGCTCATGTTTTCCTGTTTCTTTGCTGCACCCAGGCAACAAGGGAGGCGTGCAGAGCTTTCACACTGATGTCATGATGAGACACGCAGAAAAGAGGGAGGCTGTGAGAGGAGTGGGCCTGCCTTATTTAGTCCGCCTGGTCTGCAAAGGCCTCATAACACTTACCTTCCATGTGACCTCAGAGTGGACACAGACAGGAAGTGATTGCTCGCATAACACGTGAACCCGATTCCTGAGAGGAGCGCTGACGCAGGCTGTGTCTGTGAAATCACTTAAATGTTAATCTTAGTCACTTATGAATCATGAATTTAGTTGGTTATTTGATCAATTTACCATTATGTTGTTTAATAGGGTTTTAGTATTGACAGAATTATTAATAGATGTATACGACTTCATGTGCATTATTCCACTTTTATACAATGACCACAGAAATGTCTTAGTTCTTATTGGCTGAAGATTAATGCAAATCTCGTATCAGTCTTTTGAGTTGGAAGCTGTAACCTAAAGCCAGTTAGCTTAGCATAGCAGACGGAATGGAAACCTGGCTCTTAAATTGCATCGATTTCTTTAATACCTGGTACAATAAATAAAGAAACCTAACCTTTGCATGGACATGACTTCTTATTTAGGTTTTGATGATTGTTGCTTGCTGACAAAGATGTCCAAAAATAACACACTTGCTATGAAACAGCAGAGAGAGAGATGGTGGTTAGATGTGAAAGTGATAGACCGATGACATGCGCTTATCGGATCCATGCAGAGGACACATGTGAAATAACCGCTGCTTGCAAAATCTGATGGCTGTGTAGATAATGTGCTGGAGGATGACACAGCAGAGTTGGTGCGAGCGATTTGTGATGACTGTGATGTTTCTGCTAATAGATGATGTAACTAAAAGACGGGAACTCGAAGGGGCAATTACAGATATTACGAGGCATTCAAGGAAACTAAAATTCCATGCATATGTGTAATAACTGGTATTGTTACTTTGATTAACTTGTTGCACGGGCAGATAAACACTCACTAAAGTTGCTGTTCCCAAAAACAGAAGTAATCAAGAGTAACAGCATAAACAACTCAAAGCTCTTCCTGGCTAATTGTTTTTGGATTAAGATCGGTGGTTATGGAGGAAAGTTAAAGATGTCAGGGCTGAATTAAACATCTTAGAAAGAAGACGTCGGCATAATGCTTTTACTTAAAACACAAGGACCTTTGTATCCAGGAAGCCGTTGCAGGAAATAGACTCTTCACAGGAAATTGGAGGAAATACTCTCAGGGACTCTGGTGGAAAAGCTGCATTTTGTGTCAGGGTCTTTAAAGACGTTTTGCAGAGGACCACCCTGTCATTTCAACAAACACGGCAAACCTGAGGTTATTGGAGTTGAAACCTGCTTTGTTTTCCTCGTCCTTGCGTGGGCCCGTGAGGTATTTTTAGTGTTTTTTCCCCATGTGCCTCGGTGGGAGGAGAGGAGCAGAAGGAGGGGTGACTCTGGCAATTAAGTGGTGCTCTGCAATTTCAGCGTCAGGATTGATTGCATTTTGTCACGCCCGCCTGCTTGGACAAAGTCAGCGGTGCACTCCAGAGTTTTGTGCCCTTAAACACTTTCATTGATTCAGGGGGACACACATTAACTTCGCTGAAATCGCCTGAACATCTTTAATCGACCGTTGAAGCTTCATTATGCAGAAGAAGAAATGAAAGAGGAACTCCGCAGAGAGCTCTAATGACACGGTGCAATCCACCAGTTTATTCTGAATATAGTAATAAAGATGTGAAATATCAGATTCTAACCAACATCCATGTATTTATATGAAGGTCTTTCAGCTGATTAACATCTTAAATATTCTTCTGATTGGAGAAAGTATGTGTTAGATCTGCTGTTTCTAATTGGAAAAGCATGCATCATCAAGTTACAACTACATACACACTGAGGTAAACACGATTAAATCTTGCACAACATAAACCAAGCTGTTGCAGAAATAAACCACACATACTTCAGTTCTTCATATCAAACTATCTTATGTGCAAAACCATTCAATGTTAACTCTATTTCTGTAGCACTTCAGCACTTTTTCATATCTAATGTGGCTAGTGTTGTGGAACTAGTAGGCATATGGCATGGAGACCTATGAACTTTCAGTGTGCCCATAAAACTGAAGAAAAGAGACACCATCAGCTCACAGCTGGGGAAAAGCTTCACTGGACTTTCTGCTCTTTATCCAAACGGTCAACTAAACAGCTCTTTAAGGGGTTGAGATGAGTTTTGATGATTATCACCCGTCCCTAACACACCCTCTGATAATGTACCATAACAAATTCTTCCTCAACCAAACCCTGTTTCCATGGGAACTTTTGGTGTGCACACTGTGAGCCTGCAATTTGTAACTAACATGAGCTTGTTTTGCACTTGATTCATGACATTAGAGCCCTAATGGTCATACACTTTACTAATATGTTATCAAGACTCATAACTTACAAAACCTTAGTTTAAAGTGTCTACAGTGGATTCATCATTTATGCTTTGTTTCAGTCCAAGATGCCAACTGACTGTGACACCTGTAGCTTGACAACGCTTCATCTTTAGACGTGCAAATTGGACTTTATGTTATGCAGCGTTGTTCAATAGTCTTCTCTCACATAAAGCTCATTAAATACAAATTTCCTCCTTACTGCAATTTACCTTTTAAACATGCTTAACATGTTCAAAAGGAAAAACTTTTATCTATTTTGTATGCAGTGACTCTTTATGTCGAGTCACAGACTGTATAAAAACATGGACGTATAGTCTAAGTGACGTCACTCACTGGTTTCTAAAGAGGCATGATGAAGCCTAACGTTTGGGGGTGGCCACCTTTTCACCTATTCTGATCAATCTAGACTCGGGTAAAGAGGTGGAGGTGAGGCAGGACTTACACCTTCTGACAAACAGCTGCTACGCATCCATCAATCTGTCAACTAATGACCCTTATTAGAAAAGAATAATCACCTGTACCAATACAAATGGAGATATTTATGCCAAATGTTTTATTTTTCTGGCTGTAAAAATTGTCAATTTAACATGGGACATAATGGGGTTTCCTTGGTTATTGCGGCCAGCCTCAAGTGGTCACTTGAGGAACTGCAGGTTATTACACTTATACATTAGTTTCATTTTTCAAGATTTCTGCTTGATAAAAGTGTTTGGATTATTGTTTGCATAAAAGTACCTTAAAGTTCATCTTATAGCTGTGCGGTTATGACAAAACAACACTTCTGTTGTATGTTTATGTATGTAAATGTATATGGATCCTTAAACATGCATGATTTGTCAAACAAGTCTTAAAGAGGCTTTATAAGTTACACGAGACACCATGATCCAGAGTCAGTATGAGGTGCTCACTGGGTGGTTGCCTCCCTTGGTTCCTGTTTTAAAGCCCATCACTCCTCACGTCCCCCGCTATGTGATGTCATCAATACTGTATGAGCCCGTGACTGTGCACAGTATTGCTTTAGGCCCTCTGACTCAGTACTTCCATGTAACAGTAACCGCTGTGTGACCACTTACAGCAGACAGAGGTCCGTCAGTGTGTCTGCTGTCTGCATCATTATTCTCCTCACCACATCCCTCTGTCAGCAGCACGGTCGTAAACGATAATCTGCTCAGTGCTCACTCTTATGGGCGGCAGTCTTGGATCGCTAAAAGTGCTGATTTCACACTCCAATCACTTCTTAAATTACATTCCTAGCTTCATGCGGGATTAACATGTTATCACAGACGTCCCCCTCTCTCTCTCTGTTATTACTCTACTCTGTTATTTAAGCAACAGCATTGTCTCCTTGTTCTTAAGACAATGATAAGTGGTCCTGCTGTAAATAGCAGTGGGTATTGCTTTTTAAAAAGGTTACAGTATTAAACACTATCTTTTATATACATTGGTGGCAACCTTATTCCAGACCGGAGATTATTCAGACCGGCCTGGCATTTAATCCTCTGCGCCTGGACAATCAACAAGGTGATGGTAGAAAAGGTCAAAGTAGCTGCCCTTTTTTTTATCTTGCAGGCACAGAAAAAGTTATGCTACACTTATTAATAGAAGACAGATTCTGTATGTTGGACTTCAGGGTTGATTATTTCTGTAATTTCCTGTTTTTGTCCTTTTTTTATCTTTTTAATGTGATTGGTTGAGAATGACCTCAAATTAGATAAGAACTTTAGGTATTAGTATTATGTTATTAAAGGTTATTGACGATATTAACACAGCTTCATTTCTCCTCTGACATCATGCTCATGGTGGGAAGCCAACATTGTAGTTTCATGCGGACGACTTTTTTTCCCCAGGTTGTGAACTCTATAAATTAACGATATTTGACCGTTTCTACAATATCACAACTTCCTTCTTCATGACCAACTGATATCACAACTGGCAGGGAAATTCTGAAGGGGCGTAAGGCCATATATTAAAGGAAAACAAGGTTTTTGATAAGCCATAAGCTATTGTTAGACCACAGAAGATAGCATTAAGCTAACATCAGGCAACAGCTCATGTTAGCTTTAATCCACTTCCATGATGTTACAGTATATTGGAGGTTATACATTTCATATCTTGTTTTACAACACATTTTGAAAGTAATATTAACATTCAGTCACTGCCTAGCTAAAACTTACATCTTGTAGTAAGTGGCAAAATGCTAACTTTAGCTATTGTCCGATGGTAGCTCTGACTCTAGCTAATCAGATATTAAACATGTTTTCTTTTACTTGAAATATGAACCAATGTCTTTCTGGCAATTCTCTGGCAATTTTTTGTCTGCTGCTAATCAGTTGACAAGCTGTAAAATGATTAAATTTCTATCCATTGCAGGGCTGGTGAAAATCAAAGAGGCAAACGACATCGAGGAGAAATTGAACGAGGTGGAGAGCTTGCTGAAGAATGCGATCAACATGCCCTTCAAGGTTAGTTCCTAGCATATTTCTGCATCAGCACTTTAATGGCATTGTTATTGTACATTAGGAGATTATCATGGTGCCTCGTCCTTTAGGTTCAGTCAACGCATACTACATAATTAAAACCTTTTTCCACAGTTTTCCAGGTCAGAGGTCATGTTGACTTTCTTCGAGCGATCACCGCTGGACCAGGTGCTGAGGAATGACAAAGTCCACAGAATCCAGCCCTGCTTTGAGAGTCCCATCAAGATATCAGGTACATATCTGATATTCTTTAGTAACTCACTGCTGACAAACATGTCATGAGTCTACAGCTGATCCAATATTCCACTCTTAACTTTTTTTAGAAATCATGCGGTCCAACGGATTCTGTCTGGCCAACACGGAAACAATCGTATTTGATCACAGCCTGCCTGAAGAAAAAGAGAGACCCTCGTCTACTGACTCTGTGGAGCATACGTGAGTACTGTGACCACCCCTCAATATATATTTATAGATGTCTATTTATTTATATATATTTATTTATATGTATAGTTTTTTTTTTAAGATTTATTTTTGAGTTTTTACTGTAGAGATAGTACAGTGGATGGAGTTGGAAATCAGGGAGAAAGAAACAACAATCCAAGTGTAAACAGAGAATCACTTAGGCTACTGATGTAAACACATACTTTACACTCACACATTACCGCCTTATTTTCTACAAATGTAAGGAATTCATTGTTTGCCTTTGAGCGTATGTAAGTGGATGTAGAAGTGCTTGATTGTGAATCAAGTCCAAGACCCTCCACCCCAACAGGATGAGTGTCTGTGCACCTCTTCCTTCCCTGGGTGTGTAGGAAACAAAAGCGGAACACATTCCTCCTCAGACTTTACACAAAACAAGATTGTACATAACTCTCAAATAACTCAGATTCTTACAACTGAGATCCGACCTTGTGTTTGCTAATAAGTCTGTAAATGATACAGACAACTAACACATGGCCTTTAAAAGAAATGCACCACAATTTGGATTCTTTGAGTAATGCTACTTTTCTTTTATCTCCAGGTATGATGATGGATTAGAGTTTCTGCCGTTGGAAGCAGACGACTGTGATGAGGAAACAGAAGCGTATGTCACCAACCTTTCCTACTACCACCTGGTCCCTTTTGAAACGGACATCCTGGAATGAAGAACGGACACCTTGTCGACGGACATTCGAGGAGTATTACAGAAACTCTTCAATGGATCCTGGCTGTGCAACGCTGTGCATAGCTGCTCCACGTGTACGCTGCTACTGCTCATCCCAGCAACCTCAGGAGGAGTTTTCTGCCACTTTGAGCAACATCACCGGTGTGCCTCGCTCAGAGCCTTACTTAAATGTTAAAAAAAAAAAAAAAAGAAGCAGGCGAGAATGATTTGATATGAGATAGATAGGGCCTGGTGTTTTAACAAAAGCTATGGCAGTATTAATAGGGTGGATGCAAACAGCTGGAGACGTTTCAAAACCCTGGATATAAAGGAAAGAGGTTTTAATATGAGAAATTTAAAGTGTTGGACGATTCAGTGAATTGTCAGTTTTTCTACCTTCCACTCTTATTCACCAGTGGAACGACAAGATGATCTACATGGAGGCATCTACAAATCCTAATGTCATTTTAACTGCATCCTCGGGAAGGTTCATTCGCAGTGTTTTATTCCTGTGGGAACACAGAGAGATGTTACAAACCTTGGTTTGTGTTTTTTTCTCATGGTGCCGTTTCCACCAGCATTTCAGAGAGATTTTTGGCTCATAAATATCAGCTCAAAGCCAAAAGAATAAATTCTGGTTTCGTAGCTGTGATAAATAAGATGATCTTTAGTTTGAGAGAGCTTCAAGATGCAAGAAAATCTAAACTCGAGTGTTTATATGTGAAAGAGAAGAGTGAGGCACAACTTCAGGTAAAAGAGAAGAGGTTTCTGAAGTTGTTTTTTCTGCCTCTTTGCGTTCATTGTATTAGATAAGACGGTTGAAGAGAGACAGGATGTGTTGGGAAGAGAGAGTAGGGCGAGACGTGCAGCAAAGGGCCGAGATCAGATTCGATCCCGTGGCCGCTCAACGAAGACTATAGCCTCCGTACAAGGGGCGCACAACATAGCCGCTGGGCTATCCGGCGTCCAAGAGTAGAGGTTTTCGTTTCTCTCCAGTCAAACACAAACGTCTTAAAACATTTTCTAGTGTTTGCATTAGATACAATTTTTGAACTCATCTACTTTTGCTTGATTATTGGAGTACTGTCAATATAAGATACAGTAGAAAGTGTCTTTATCACTTTGTTACAACACACTCTGTCCAAAGTGAGAACATAATGCTGCCTTTTTGGATATTGTATTTTGTAAGAATTATAAATTAGAATGTATTAAGTGTTTGTAATATCGCCTGTGTTGCCTATTTTTTTGTGTATGAACAAATAACCTAATAGAGCAGAGCATACAGTGTGTTTTGCCCTTTTTTTTTGTGGCTAGCAGAATCGTCTCACTGCTCCTGCTGCAGTGAGATACAGTGATAAAACGAGGCAAAGAGAGCTTTGTTTTATGGGTCAGTCGAGGTCACATCTGAGCCCGTCCTGTAAGATGACGAGCGTGGGTTAACACAGACGCCCACAGTCGGGACAGCTGACCACGGGAGTCTGCAGCTCGGCCTGCAAAACAAGTCCGCTCTTTATCAAAAGAAAGACAAACGACTGTGCTGTAGTAAAAACTTTCTATAGGAGAAGTTGTGTGAAATGGGCAAACACTCGCTTAAGATTCATGCTTTTGTATGTTTTATGGGCCCGCCAGGCTGTGGGGAGGTTGCTTTCACTTCATGCGCCTCCTTTCATGAAACTGTTGATGCATTACATGTGTTTTGAATGCAAGTGAAGGGTGAAAAAAACAACATATATTTGCGTTAGACTGAATAAGGAAGTCCGTTTGTATTCTTGTTTTGACAGATTTGTTTATGTAGAAGTCAATGTTGCATTACATTGTGCACTGACAGCGTGTGTCCAGTGTGTTTTTGCCCCTCCGAATACAAAAGCCATTCAACCCTCACAAAGTTGGCACACGAGACTACAGCGGGACGCTCCTCCACATGAGTCTGTTTAGTAACACAGTCATGATCACCATTCAGCCCATGAGAAAGTGCAGCGCTTTCTCAGGGTGCAAAACTATTTCTTTGTGTTGGTTTTCTCTTTCTTGAAAGAATTAGGCCATGAAATGAAATGTTTGGTCAGTCACACATATTAGTCCTGATAATATAATGTGATACAAATAGAACCTGTTTTGTTGTGTAGATTTTAAACGTTTAGTTTTGAGTTTATAAGAGACCTTTCGATGCAGGCTGAGTAAATGCATCATAAATTGTTAGACATAAAGGTACTCAGCTGATTCAGTGCAGTGACAGGCATGTGTAGTGCTTATACTCCAGCTAAGTGTCATTTTGAAACATGTCAACGCCCATCATGCCAGAGAGGGGGTCCGAGGATTCAGAGGAAAAAAAGGAAGTGTAAAAGTTGACGTGAAAATAATTTAACACAAATGATTTTATTTATTCTGTAAACTTCAGCCACACTCTGTGAAGCTAACCTATGCCTTGTCATTTCATTTGTATCTTCATGTGTGATGATTTAGGATAAATGTTTGTGTTAATAGATGAATGTAGATAATTATAACCTTAAAAATTGATGTTTTTTTTTGTAACTTTAAAGCTATCCAGACAGTATTAGATACAAATTATTATTCTCAAAGCTCCTCAAAATAAATATTTTTTTTATACGACAAATATCGGTTTGATGTTTTTTTTTCTGGTGAAACAACATGCTGCTGAATTATCTCTACAGAGTGTTTTAGTTTACTGAAGCTGTGGTAGCTGGTGTAGCCTCAGGATCCACCACAGACTGCTTCATGACAACACGACACACACGTATGACATTTTCCAACCAATCAGAGTTGTTTAATGACAAATTCTATAGTTTTGTCCTGAGACGGTACAACACGTGACACAGAGGAAAGAAATGGAAAAAAACAAATATCTTCAAAATCAATATTTAGACTTTGATACAGTTTTTTTTTTTTTTTGGTGACCCACTAAAGACGGTTCTGCAACCCACTTTTGGGTACCGACCCACCAGTTGAGAACCACTGTACTAAAGGATCTGAAGGCTTCTTTTTCAAGTGATATTGAATATTGGACATATTGCTGAAAGTGTGACTTTGTATTCTTGATTTTTTTTAAATTTAAAGTGCCAGTGGGGAATCTGGCATCATGTTCCTTTAAATTAATTTATTTTAATTAATTTGAAAAGGCTTTATAAGCATGGGAAACATATGTAACATAGTAACAAAATAAAACACAATATTAGGTACACTTAAAGAATATCAAAAATCTAATATAAAAGTAAATAACAGAGCAGTGCAGGATGCCAGTATTACAAAGTTTATGTACATCAAAACAGTTTGTGTTTGATTCAAAAATACTAGTAGAAAATGTAAAAATATACTGATAATGACTACAGATAATTTACAAAAATACTAAATATGAAATAAAAATGTAATGTAAAGATAATGTAATAAAAAAAAAATAGTATAGTAACAGCTCTATGGTCTGTGTGTATGTACAGTTGTGTACAGAGATAAATAATGCAAATGATGGTGCAGTAATACCATAAACTAGTCTGAGTGATACACAGATAGTATATTATCTTATAGCGACACCTTGTGGTGAGTATCGGTAGGCACTATCAGTATCTATTTATTCATATTTAAAAACAGTAAAAAAAAAATGCTTTTAAAAGAGAGGTATTTGTACATATTTGTATAAAACGGCACATAATTTCTACGTTTTTATTTGCTTGTTTTACTCAACAACAAATAATGTGTTGCTGTCCGCGCCTGAATCCTCCAGGAGTCCTGCGTGACCCCCGCGCATGCGCAAGAGTTCCAGATTTAGCAGCTGTATTTCCTGCTCACTGTTTCCACTCGAAGCGATGGCAGAAGTGAAAGCTTCCCTGTTTTATGGAGGTACGTTCACGTTTTTATTTTACGTATATTTAACAGTACGCCAAGCGTGCGACCCCAGCCTGTGTTAAAACGAGCATTGAAGCCCCCTGTGCTGAATTTACGAGGCAAATTTGATGCCCAGTTAGCCGGGGGACGACAGCTTTAGCTGGTGATGCTTCAGTCATGAGGTTTCCAGGCTGCAGAGCTGGAGAACAGAAACGATATACTAAGCTCTTGTCTACACGGAGATAACATGTTTTCACTGCTGTTTTACTGTTTCAGTGATAGCGGCCTTCCTCAGTTCAGCGGTGTTTGCATTTGTTGAGGATCTAGATGACACGTAAGTGATGCACTCTTTCTGAATGCTCTGCTTCATCCTTCCTGTACAGTCATCACATTAACACATGAGCAGTTTAATGCAACTTCCTATTGCACTGCATGTGGGCGAAAATCAGCCTTTAATTCAGTTCTTACTCCTCTCTTGTTTCCTCTCACCACTGTTGAACTTGTGCATAGGATGCTGCTAAGATGAAATCATTTAAGGGATCATCCCATTTCCAAAGGTCGTGAAACTTACAATAAACAGAATTTGGCTTAATTAAAGCAGGAAAAACATGAGTATATTCTTGATTTTCTCAGAAGTTTGTGTTTGCAGAATACTTTGTAATTGGATGCCTGCAGTTAAAAGTCTGCAGAGATTTAATCTCTTGTTTTTTTTTTTTTGTCGCTCTGATTCGGGTCCTTTTTCCTGCAACTTTTGAAGATAATTACATCCTGTCGACATCTAAAAAAGTGGTTCCTCTGTCTGCTGCGTGTGACATTATTTCTTAACATTTAGCATCTTTAAAGCATCTTACAATGTGGGTAATTCCAAATACTGTAATCCACGCTGTACACTTTGTCTAATTGAAGTCACGCACTCTTCTTTTCTTTTTTTTTCCTGACAGATTCAAAGACACCAGAGTGAGCGATGTCTGGCTGGTGGATGTGAGTCTTGCATTACGCACTCATGCACACACAAACACACAAACCGGTCTGGGTCCGTTCCGCTGCGCTTTACTTTAGATCCAGCACGCCACTGTCCACATCATCCCCTGCGGAAGTGGCAGCGGTCAGGGTGGGAGGTTGGAGGGCGGGCTGTGCAGACTGTCCTCTGTGTTTGTGATTAGTGAATGAGAAGTCATGCATGACAGCCAAAGCCAGGGGGGCTCGGAGGGGTTTATATCACAGTTTGGGATTGGGTCTGTATAAACTCATGAAGTTTGAGTACGCAAAGCTGCTTGTGCTCCTGGTTCGTGTTGCAGGAGTGAGTCCTTAAACTGGGAAGTTACAGTAGTGAAAAAACTACTATATAGATGTTTAGATACTTCATATACTGTCTGTCCTCAGAAATGATCAAAAGTAATTCACTCTTAAGTTTCATTAGAAGCTTGTTAGAGGAGTTGGATTTTGATTCAAGCTGGGTGAGAATGAGTTCTGCTGGTCTGGTCAATGTCGTTGGGTATTTTTACCTCACAGCAGAAAAAGTAGCACGCTCAAACGGTAATAAATCTTCAGGCGCACGACCACAAAAAAGACGACAAGAAAACCGAAAAGTCAGCACACTCGGTGTCCTCTGAAGTTTGTGTTATCTGGGTGGAGCAGCAGCGACAACAACGGACGCCTTTCATCCCAAAGCCTTCATCAGCGAATTGATGATGTTTATGATAACCCATACTGCCAGTTAACACCACTATATGTGTATTCTTTAAGCTCAACATACTGGTATTTTTGATGTCTTACATAATGTATGAGATGTTGTTTTTCAGTGGTTAAACAATACAACAAAAAAAAAAGCTTTCAATTCAGCTGTCTGTCCTGTTTTTTCCTCTCCAATATTGTAGTTTTCAAAAAGCTACCCTAACTTAAAAACACACTTTGCACTTTGCATGTGAACATAGTAAGGGTAGGATTAGTAGTTTATTTTTGTCTAAAGTAGGTCATGGAGTCCAAAAAAAACGAGCTAAATGAGAGTAAATATTGCTCTTAATAAATTATAATCTAAATGGGTGTGTAAATAAGTAACTGTTTGCCTCATCAAGTTAAACAGTACGACTTGACAGTGTGTCGATAATGTGTTTTTAACTGTTCCTGCTGCTGCCTCAGTGTTATCATATACAAACATAAGAGTAGACAGTTTATTTAGAAAGCACATTTCATCACAGTTCAGCGCAATGTGCTTTATAAACGCACAGGAATACAAGAAGAAACAACAGTCATCCAATCAGACAACACGCATCAGAGACACACGTGTTTTGAGTTTAGCTTTAAAAGTAGAAACAGTCGGAGCGCAGACAGCCCAGCAGTTATGTTGCGTGCCCCACGTACACAGGCTGTAGTCATCGTTGTAGCGGCTATAGGGTTCGAATCCGACCTTGGTGCTTTTCTGCCTGTCATCCCCCACTCTCTCCTCCAAACACTTCCTGTCTCTCTTCAGCTGTCCTATCCGCTGAAGGCAAACGGTATTGTTGGTCCTCAGGTCAACAGGTAGCTTGTTCCAGAGAGAAGGGCCACAGTAACAAAAGGCCCCCTCTCCTGACCTTGATCCAACTCTCGGTTACGACTAACACACCTTCACTTGATGACCTCAGGGCCCTCGTAGTGTTCTTGCATTGTGAGCCAGGCTCCTACTGTGGACATGCTTCACATTTGTAACCTAAAAAAAGATTTCAGTGTTTTGAGCTCTGAATCCCTTTCAAAGCACATAAACTACATCAAGCAGTCTTCATGTGTGAGAGGTTCAAGACAGAAAACTAAAATACATTTCAGAAGAAGGAATCAACATTAAAAACAATCACGACCAAATATTCATTCATGGCCATAAAGTCTTCTGGTTCATTGACCCTCTGAGTATTGTCTTGTGTTATATAGCCTTGTGTTTACAGTGTATCTGACCTGATCTACTGACTGTTTTCCTTCTCCTGGTTATTTCCAGTTCTATGCACCGTGGTGTGGGTACTGTAAAAAACTGGAGCCGGTATGGTATGACGTGGGAGCTGAGCTGAAGAGCTCCGGGTCGCCGGTCCGCGTGGGAAAGATGGACGCTACCGCTTACTCTGGTGAGTAGACGATGAGGAAGCGCTTCCATTGTCTTTCCCGTGAGCCTCTCTTTACCCCAGGTGATCATTTCATGAGCTGATGACAGAGATCGAACTTTATCGACCTGAGTCGTTCAACAACACGGTGACGTCCTGTCAGGTCTTTCTTTCTTTAAGTATGTTTATTTTAAGGCTGTCAGGATTGACTAGTTCATCGTGACCGCATGCTTTTTTTGTCCCTAAAGACGCGGCGCTAATAAGCCTCCTCAGTGTCTCCCGGTCGTCATAGTGATGGAAAATAACGACTCTGCTGCATCTTTGAATGTCACACACACAAAAAAACTCTCAGACAACTCAGCAGACGATTTCAAAGTAATATCCACCCCATGACATCAAACATTTACTGTTCTTTGTACCTGTCTTTATTTAGTTTTTGATCCGTTTGGAGTTCTTTTTTCCCGTGGTTAAGTTAATGTCGTAACCTTTTGAAGAAGGTCCTTACTGGATTTCAAAATAAAAGCAGGTTTGAATTCAAACAGTAAGTAAAATACTCTGAGCTAAGGCTGTGGCAGTAACCAAGAAAATGACAACAGGATACATTTAACCTGCATTAAAAGGTTGTTTTTTAAAGTCTCTTTTGTTTTCTTTGTTGCAGGAATGGCATCAGAGTTCGGTGTCCGTGGTTACCCCACAATAAAACTGTAAGTGACACATACTCACCTTACACCTCTAAGAATTCAAACCTAGAAGCAACACTAGACTCAAACTTTGACTTAACACTTTCTAGTAGAGTGTAGTTATATCTAAGCGTCTAATCAAAATCTTCTCAACCACTCTGTGCAGCTTTAGAAAAAGGCCTGCAGAAATCTGTATTGGAAGGTACCAGGGTCTGGACATAGTATGATGATTATTCCATACCCACACATCTGCAGATTAGTTCGTATTTTCAGCTCTTAACCCTCCATACCTGTAAAGTTTGTGGCAGAAAGTCGTGAGTTTCACTGAATATCAATCAATCAATTTATATCGCACCTTTCAAGTGCAAAACAGCAAAGTGCTTAACAGCACTTAAAAGAGTTTTGAGGTGTCAGAAGACTAAAAAAAATATACAAACTCAAGTCCATTTACTGATTTAAAAAAAAAAGTAAATAAATAAAAGCCATAAAATGATGAAGTAATACATAAAAGCCAGGCTGCATAAATGAGCGTTTATATTCTCGCCTCCTCTGGAAGTTTGTTCCACCGTCTCGGAGTGAAACAGCTGAACGCAGCATCCCCAAACAGTTTTGTCCTGCTCTCTGGAAGAACTAAAAGAGAGGAGCCGGAGGATCTGAGGGGCCGTCCTGCTTCATAAACTAAAATCATCTCTGAGAGGTAGTCAGGTGCAAAACCAGGTAGTGCAGGCAGCCAGTGTAAAGCTTTTCAAACAGGTGTAATGTGTATTCTGGGTTGTGTTTGACCACATCTGTCAGCTGAAGCCCTTCATGTTTACATAATATTTAGTTGTGTTATTATCAGCATCATTTACCCCCCCTGTCGTCTTTTTTTGTTCCCTACGAGGTTTGGCCTCTTGAGATGCCCTCAGAAGTCGATCTCAGGAGGGAGCGAGGTGTTGTTGCTGCTTCCTTGAAGCTTTCACTAAGCTGCTCACACCTTTTTAGAGTTTAATTGTATTACACATTGCACCGCTGGATGCTTTAATTAGTGTATTTAAAATCATTCAGAGCAATTATTTTTCCCTTTTCTTATTTTCCGCCCCCATCTCCTTTGATTTGATCATTTGAGTTCGTTCATCCACAAATCAAAGGTGATGTTTGATGTTATTTCCTCTGAATCTGTTGATTTCTCCCATGTGTCTCATTAAGTGACTCTTTTTTTTTTCTTCCTGAGAAATGAATGAACGGAGGTAGACGCCAGCTGCTCGAAGGCAGAGCTCACGTTGACTTGAGAGAAATGATCTTTCCACACAGCGCCGTTTTTTTCTCCGTGTATTCCAAACAGTCATTCACCCGCTCGCCGCCGTAATGGGCTCCCCGTTTAGTTTCATCAAACTCATTTGGGAACGTGCCACAGGATCGCGGCGGGGTTCATAACATCAAACCAAGCAAGTGATGAAACATCAATCGAAGACACGAGATGCCTCCCTCCAGAGACACAAGGAGACTTGATTTAGAACCCCCCCCCTTGAGTTCATTAAGCTCTTTGGGGCTGATGCAACCTTAGCAATCCTTAATGCACTCTGCCCACTGGAGGGGTTGGACTCGGGCAGTGGGCCTGGGACTCAGTGAGGGTTTGTTTTTTGTTTTCCCATCAGAGATGCGAAGACTTAGATTAGTTTGACCTGAGTGCTGAAGAAGAGTCTCCTGATGGATCTGCTGTTTCATCAGAACATCTACGAAGGGACAGGTTGTAGTTGTCAGATGGTGGGCACAGACTTCGACCCATTAAAGTTAGCATTTGTGTTTTAGTAAGTTCAAAAAGGACTCCAAAATGTTATTCTCTGTGTTTGTTGTTTTATAATTAAAAAACAACAGCAACATAAAAAAAGCCTCTTAAATATTTTAGGAGCCCAAATGATGTTTGAAATCCCTCGTTTTTCACTTAAAGATACACGGAGTGATCACTTTATTGCACGGCTACCTGTGAATGCTAATAACCTTTTTAGCTTATCAGACAGCAGTAAGTCAATGCATGTGGGGGCCCTGAGCAGCTCCTTCAGCAGCAGACTCAGACACCCACCCTGCAAGACGGAGCGCTACCGCAAGGTCTTTCATCCCATCTGCCATCAGACTGTTTAATCAGACTGTTTAATCAGACTGTTTAATCAGACTCTTTAACAGCATCACCACCTCATGCTACACACTGTGTGTGTTTTTAATAACAATAACTCTTTCCAGTGTAGTTACTGTGTACTTTTCCATTATTGTATTTTTTTATTTAACTGATGTAAATATGTTTGATTTTTAACTCCTTTTTTTATTTTTAATAATTATATTCCCGTCTCCTGTTTTCTTGAGCTGCTGTAGTGCACAACTTTCCCCCACGGGGGATCAATAAAGTTTATCTTTATCATACTACATACAGATACCATAACTAACAAAACACACAATCTCTCATGCTGCACAGAGGTCTTGTTGGCACTCACAGTCGTAACAGGGCCTAAAGAAAGAGTCCAGTGAGTGTATAAAGCAAAGAGCATGACCAGGCTTTGATTTGCTGATTTTGTTTGATTAAACAACTCAACCAACGTCTTGTTTGGTCTGAAGAGTGATCGACTAATCAAAGCCTTTACTTTGAGCTTTGCTTCTGCTGAAGTTTGAAGGTCTTTTCCTTCTTGTTTCACTGAATGACTAAACCAACATCCTCAAAGCAAAGTTCAAAATCACTGAAGTGATTTCTGTTTAATTTTATTTTCACATAAAAGTTTCAGTTACTGTTTTCAATGAAAGGCATACAACATTGAATGCTTTGTAATGGTTCTGCAAATGAAACCATCTCCCTCTCCCTCTTGTTGTTCTCTGTGTCCTGTTCAGGTTAAAGGGGGATCTTGCCTACAATTACAAAGGACCAAGGACAAAAGATGACATCGTGGAGTTCGCCAACAGGGTGGCGGGGTGAGTCACGGCTTTCAATCTCTTGAAATATGAGAATGAAATATCTCAAAACTTAAAAAAAGAAGAAGTTAGATTTTTGAAGCACAGGAAACTGTGAAAAGTACAAATCACCCAGGCTGGCTTATCAATGCAGGCCATATTTGTTTCATAGCTCAGTGGATTTCCACCTTTTGATGCTCCAGTTTAAGCCCTGTATCAATTGAGCCTGACAGATTTCCCTTCTCGAGGGAAAATCCAGTCAGATCCGTGGACAGAGGGCTTGATCAAAAGCTTGGCTCTGACTCCGAGCGGGGCTGCAATGTGTTGAACGTCCACTGGGTGGAGCTAGCTGCACAGAAATCCAAGAGCAGAAGCATCAACGCTTGGAGTTTTTTTCCATCAGTTTTCTACACCAGTGAGCTATTTTTAAGCTGAATGGACTCATCCCTGTTTGTTTTATGTTCCCCTTTAGACCGGCCGTGCGGGCGCTTCCCAGCAGGCAGATGTTTGAGCACATGATGAAGAGACACGATGTGCTTTTCGTGTATGTTGGTGGGGAATCTCCCCTCAAAGTAAGCAACATTTATGCAACCCGAGCATGAATCAGGACTTTATTCTAAGAACCCAGCTTCTTTAGATCAATCGTAGTCCTAAAACTGTCTAAATAAAAATGTTTTTACATCGTCAAACAAAAGGAAAAGTTGTGTTTAACGCCTCAAAAGACTCCTCCTGATGGATCTAAAACTCTGTGGTGTGTTTTCTTGTAACAGGAGAAGTACAACGACGTAGCCTCTGAGCTAATCGTCTACACTTACTTCTTCTCAGCGTCAGAGGACGTCTTTCCAGAGGTAACTCTTTGAATATGCATCATTTCTACCTCCATATATTCTTAATAATCTCCAGTATTGTGCACCATGAACATGTTTTTGCCTTCGCTTGATTTCAAGGTTGAGAGCGCGCAGGAGTAGATTTTTCTTCCAGTAAATGCATGTACAATCACTAGCTTTGCATGCTATCTTTGCAGTATTCATAAACAGTAAAACAGTAAAAAAATGAAGCCCATATGTGCGTTGCATTCTCTTCAGGTTCACTCATGAATACAAATGTGACATAAATGAAGTCTAAGGAGGTTTTGTGTTTTCAACAGTCTGTCACTTTGCCAGAGGTCCCTGCAGTCGTGGTCTTCAAGGACGGAGCCTACTTCAGCTACGATGGTAAGGATGTTGTTGTCCCTGTCTTCATCCACTCGTGTCCGTTTGTTTTGTCTGTATTAAGTCAGGAGAAGAAATCATTTAAGATGCCAGTAGGGAACCCTTTGTATACAGCTCCTTGGCCTTCCTTCCCTGCAGTCCTTGTTTTCTCTGGCCGTGTTCCTCCCGCTTCCCCGGCCCTCTTTCATCTTCTACACAGCGCTGAGTTATGGTGTGCCTGGCCTGTCATAAAGCACCCAGAGCTCTGCCCGCTATTGTGTGTGCGGCGAGGCCAGTGATGTCGTGGTGGTTTGTCTTTGGGCGGACATGCATAACATAGCAGGCCGGGGTTGGATGGGCGTGAGAGACCACAGTTTATACTGAGGAAAACCAGTGCAGCGCTGGTACTGTATTTACAGTCATTACAAGCCCAGATGAATCACTGGAGCAGCCGTCGAGTCCCCAGCGAAAAACAGCAGATACTGACATAAGAGCTGCTTTTTCTCTCACCAAATTGGAAGCTGCTCACCGCAACAACGTGAGCTCGCCGCATTCCTCCATGATTTCTTGGATCTCGCTGCCGCTGAGGGCTTCAGCTGGGAGGCGGAAGCGGAAGTGAAGAGCATCGAGGCACAGTGCAAGCACAAACGGGCCCCAGTAGTGGCTGTTGGGCAGGTTCGGAGAGCGGTGGAGCACCCGCAGGATAAAATCCATCTCTGCAGGGTCCCCGCGGGGGATGACGTCAGTCTGCTCCACCTGACTGTTCCGAAAAGCGGGCTTCCTGCGCCAGAATCTCAGCAGGAGAGGCTCACCGCAGTGCACGTTGACGACAAAGACTCCACACTCTGTAGAGTCCTCCAGGACCTTGATACAGAGGATGTGGTGGATGTCTAGCATCGCCATGGTGACGGCGCATTAAGCAGGGTTAGAGCAGCATGGCCAAAATGACATGTTTTGTCCTGTCTTTCTCACATGGTGGATTTCTCCTCTCCCATTTCAGAAATCAAATCTAGAAATTGAAAGAGAAACATTAGCATGTGAAAATTAGTAAAAAAATGCTGCCTCATTTAGGACTTAGCTACTCAAAGTACATTTCCCGCTCTGCATAAGAGAAAGTAGTTAGCCTGTCTGTTTTTTTTTTTCTCACCACCTGTGGTCCTGTGCATCTGGTTTTCCTCCAGCTGTGCTTTGCTGTGTTTCTCCGAGGACTCTGGTTGCTGGAAATCGACTGTCTAGATGCTTCACTCGGGGATAAAATAAGGCTGAGGCGCTCACTTTGCATGAAGTTCTGTTTGGCTAAGTGTCTGAGACACATTTGCATCAGCAGCCAGTGACACAGTTTTATGACTATGACATTTGTTTAAGCGATAATGTACAAGCATGTAAAAAGCAGATTGTTCCACTTGACGTATCCTAGAGGGGGTTCTTACTGCTTTAACAACCCGCCTGCTGGACTCTATTCTGCTGAAACACTGTTAAATACTGAAATTTGACACTAAATGTTTATTTGGAGGGGAGTAAGTACAACACAAATCGTCTTGCCTCCCGAGGAATCTCCAGCTGTGAAGCAAATTTGTGAAAGGCCAACGCAAGTAAGAATTCAGGGGCAGGCTGTCCTAAAGTTTAACAGATTTTTTTAGAGGTGCATGTGCACGGAAAGGACTTCAGACTTAACGTGAGCTGCTTCCAAGGTGATGGATAACTCTGTCGCATTATCACATCGGTTTACTTAGCTGCTATAATCCACAGAAACTACAACTTTCAAATGACAGTGAAGTGAGACAAGGTGAAAAAAGTCTGCAAAAATCACCACACAGAGCACCGTCTCATTGGCGTTTTTGTTTTGAATCAACCCATCTTCACACACTGCCACAGGCCATACTGTGTTTTGTCCACTTTGTCCACTTGTCTGTCTTCTAGATATTTGTTTATTAGAAGAACTTTTTCTCCGCTGTTTTCTTCTTTTTATTTTTCATCGCAGTAAACAGACTGATCTTAAATCAGTGTTTGTGCGTGCTGTCCAGAGCTCTGCTGTTACTCCATGCAGGCGTTGTGGGCGTGCCAAACAGTTGTTTACTTTCATGGTGAGAAGCAGAACGAGAGCCAGGGCTGCTAACTTTTTAGATGCTAGCCTTGCAGACCGTCCACGGCTTGTTGACAAAGCGGACGAACGCAGTGAAATACGGCATTATATCACTTACATCCCCGACAGTCAGGGTCACCCCACGGACGTGAAAAGAAGTTTTAAAACCCGGATGCCAGCAAAATCTGTGAAACCCCAGTGATGCAGCTTTTCTCTTCCAGCTGTGTTTGAAAACAAAGACTGACAAAAGACTCAAATGAAAAGTTAAACATCACATATTCAGCAAAATACACTTTACTATGTCCTGTCATGTCTGGACTTACACTAAATATTATTTCATCATGTTTTAGGATTTTGCCGTGGCATCGTTTCAGTATCTGTATCGAGATATTTTGGGCAGGTAATCATGTCAGAGTCATTATTTTGGTATTGTGACAAAAACTTATTGAAGACACATTTTCATTGGCTGTATTTTTTAATGTACTGACTCGAGAGGCCGGCAGCTCCCACATTATATAAGAAACCTTCATCATCCTCCCGCTTGTTTAGTAATTGTGTTTATTTTGTAAGGATTAAAAAAAACACTTGTTATGATTCAGTCCTCATTTACAGATCTTACTTGTTGTGCCTTTTTAAGAATAGATACCAGCAGGCAAAGCCTCTCTGTCCTCTTGCTTTGTGTAAAATAATATCTGTTGTAGTGTTGTTTAGCTTTGATTGGTTTAGTGCACATCACAAAGTGCTGCATCCCGTTTGAAGAGCTCCGTTAAAATATAGTCCAGCACAGCCTCATGCATAATTTAATGGATGAAATCCGAACTTCTATACTGCTGCACAGGTCTGCTCTGTTTCTGTGCTGCAAGCGCTAAATGTTTCTGATCAAAGTGTGTGTTCAGCGGTGTGTTAGTCCACACAGTATGCTTTTTTGAAATTGCTTCACTGGCCTGGAATTAGCTTTGAAACGTGTATCTGTGTTAATACACAGTAAACACTCAGAGGCCTGTGTGTGAGCGTCTCTGTGAGACCGTCTCAGCAGTTCACAACCTGAGCCTGTCACTCCTCATACGGAGTGAAAGGTAAAGCAGCCCGATGTGAGAGGACTATTTGCATAGGTTTATTTGGAGCGCTTGAGTGACAGTCAGATTAACAGCCGGTGGATGTGTTGACAAGAAGGGGGTCACACCTGAAAAGGTGATAACACAACCGCTGACGCTTTGTGACGGCACACATGGTACAGGATTCACTTCAGGACGGGTTTTGAATTTTCCAAAGACGATGAGGTCAGTGCGCATGATGAGCTGATGAAAAAAAGTGCACTAACAACAAGGAAGTGAACCTAAACCCGATTAATGTAACATCCCCAAACGATCAAAATCCAGTTAAAATGTAAAAATGGGATAAGAAGATAGTATTTATCAAAGTCTTAGTTATTAGTTTATTTGAATCAGGGACGATGAACAAAATAGCATTAGCCTCAGAAGAGAAAAAATGCTAGCAGGTTTTGCTGAGTAACTAATTTCCATCTGTAGTCCCGAGGCGTACAATACAGATCAACCAGTCATCTACACACACACACACACACACACACACACATATTTCCTGTTATCTGCATCATAAAGAATGCCTTCATGCTTTAAGTTTGACTGTGTACATTTCCAAAAAGGATATTGTCGTTTTTTTTTCTCTTTACACACTTTATATGTTGAATTCACTTGAAACTAATCCGTTGCCTTAAACCGCTTTTCGGGGTCGCAGAGGGGCTGGAGCTGAGCCCGGCTGACATTTCAGCGAGAGGCGGGGGTTGCGTTGTGAACTCTTTGCCAGTCAATCACAGCGCTGACATACAGACACAGACAACCGGGCACACTCGCATTCACACCTACGGGTTGTTTAGAGTCACCACTTAACCTAACGAGCATCGCTGTGGACTGTGGGAGGAAACACCCGGAGAGAACCCACGCCGTGCACAGAGAGAACGCACACACAGAGAGGTTCCTGTCAGACGGGGATTAGGAACCAGGATGTAAACTAATCAAAAACACACACAGCATCTTCAATTTAGTGAAGACTGGATTTGTTTTCACTTGTCCTGGTATGGCCAGTAGTCTAATGTGGGTATATATTAGCTAATCTTAAGCTACAACTCTTTTCTGTTTTTCTACCACTGTAATGAGCATGTCACAGTACTCTGCTAACTGACACCGTACAGTACTGTCAGCGTGGAAGTGGGAGCAGCTTACCATCACTGATACATCTTTATTTACCCCACAACAGAAACATTGACGGCGTTACAGCAGCAAAGAGCAAGCATAGACAAAAAAAAAAAAAGAGCACACAGTTCACAATTTAAATAATCGAGGAGCCGAAACAGAGCTGCAGGTGTTACAAATGTTGTCTGAACATTCACAGCTACACAGAAAAGAAAAGGACTATCATGCACACAGGGCACATGAAGTTCGACATTTGATTGCACCAAGTAAGTTCAGTTATATCTTTACACCTAAGTATCAGAGGATATTTTAATATGATAATATAGCACGAGTGTTTGGAGTGAATTGTGTCCGGCTCTTGTGTGTGTGTTTTGGGATCTACCAGGGGGGGAGGGGAGGGGAGGAGGCTTGGTTAAGGGGTGTGACTGCAGCAGGAAGGAAGGCCCTGCTGTATTTCTCCTACACACACACACACACACACACACACACCATGCAAGGGGTCGAAAAAAATGTTTTCTGCTTCCAACAAATTTAGCTTTGCGTTTTGTGTTCAGTTAGAAATCCGGTGAGCAGATTTGACCGACTTCGATGCTTGCTGTTTTCCCTCTGTGCTCTGTTTGAATGAATACAGCTACAACACAAAAAGATGCCGCCAAAAGTTATTCTCGGTCCTCGATGGATGAGTCCTTTCTTTCTTGGGTTACCCTCCCGAGTTTTCCCTCCAGCCCCACGTGGGTGAAACTGTTGGGAGGGATTGGCCAGAAATTTGACGCAGACGTTCACGGCCTCCAGAGGGTAACCTGTAGAGAATGAGTGGATCCTCTTACTCATTGTCCATCAGTAGGTTTAATGTATTTGTTTATGGCCTAAGTGGTTGGACTGAACAGTGGACCTACTGTACAACAATGTCTTCTTCAGGACTTTGCTGAATCAGATCCATTTGTTTGTATACTCTACATATTTGTATAATACAATATTGTTAGCTGGCTTTCTTGGCACAAATCTCGACATGGTTCCCACCCCGTGCTGTCACTTTCTGTTGTGCTATTGGGCAGCTAGCCAAAGCTTTTTCTCATAGTCAATCCTCTAAAAGCTTGCCCTGTCATTTCACTGAGCCTTCCTTCACTGTTAAATACATCAGTGCTCTGTGTCTCACCCTGTTTGAATAATCTTTGATGATATCACGTCCCTCCTCTCCCACTCCTCTTCTCTCCGTTTTTCTTTGTTTCCAATGTATTTGCATTGTCTTGGAGGTCTTTTTTGCAGGATTAACCTTCATCCTTGAAATGTGTCGGCGCTGCCTCCTCCCCTCTGCTCAAAATCTCTGACACGGGATCATCCTCGCTCCACCCTGCGTCTGATTCTATCTCCCCTCCTGCCCCTCATCTTTCTCTCTCCCTCGCCCTCCCGCTGCGTGAACTCTGGGCTGACAGGCTCCTGTAGGGCAGTATGAAGATTGCAGTGTTGGCGCCGAGGAAGCTCGCAGCTCTAATTTGTTTCAAGGTGAAGCGGGGGTTCTGTCCGCGTAGACGAGAGGCTCATCAGGCGCTGTGTACGATCCCAGTTAGGGGGCCCTCGTCTCTCTCTCTCTGGTGCAGCTGCGTGCTGTCTATAAAGCCAAAACATCTGTGGAATGAACTCTCAGGAATGCCTCGCAGATTTACTGACTCCGTCTCTGACCGGCAGCACAGTGCATTGCATTAAGGTCATTGTCTCTAATACCAGTATAAGCTACGACCGTACGAGTGTTCAGGTTGTAGCTTGTCATGTTCGTATTACACTCCAAGCTCCCTGCAGCTTTATGAAACCATGTCCAAGTCATCAGTGTTCTTGTAATTATTGCAATGCTTGTAGAAAGGTCATGATAACTTATTAACATGTCATAATGAGGTCTCTGCTACGTTTGACATCAATTATGAGCATCCTGTAGCCTCTCTCAGCTCCAGTTCAAGCAGCCGCCGCTATTTATACCGTGGTGGGAGAGGCGCCGGCTCCCCTGTTTGCATGTTGCCTCCAGATGTTCGGGTAGCAACAACATGTGGCTCGCATACAGGAAGCAATCCGTTATTTGACTTTGGCACATTTTTTATTTATTTGTTGCACTTTATCATTTGGGGTTTTTTTTTTTTTTTGCACTTATGCATCTGTTGAATAATACATCTGCTCCAAACATGGGAATATCTGCCAAAAATGCATCCTGGGAAATGAATGTGCATACGTGCTGGAGAGTTATCTTCAAACCAAATGTGTGAATGTGAATGTGAAAGTCATGCTAGTTGTAAAAATGAGGTCAAGTGAGGCAGCTTAACAGAAAATCTGTGCATAGTGTGAATGAAAATGACAGCTTTTCATTTTCTCCACAAACACAAAACACTGTTTTACAGCCGCTTAATAAGGAGGGTCCAGCATGGAAACTTATTTATTTATCTTTACACAACAAAAAAAGGATACTTTTGTTTATTTTTATACCTCTGAATCGATCACATTGAGCTGTTTCAGACTCAGGATAACCTCCCTGACCTCCTAACCGAGCTGCATCCCTCCATCAAAACAATTTCTGATCATTGTTTAGCCGACCTCTGTCTCTGAACGCTCAGCTTGTGCCACTCTTTATTCCCGGGACAGCAAACAGGTGGTAAACACGCTGATCTTCTCACAATCCCGGCATCAATACACTCCTCTGCTTTGCTTTTAATATAGACAGGCTGTGAGCTGAATGTCAATTAGTTGTTTTGTGTGCGTCTGCCTCTGACAGATTCTGTCTCTTTGTGTCGCAGAGTACGAAGACGCCAGTTTGTCATCGTGGGTGAACAAGGAGCGCTTCCAAGGATACCTGCAGATAGATGGATTTACACTCTACGAGCTCGGAGAAACAGGTGGCGTGTGCATCAAATATCTCATCCATTATATGTTTCAAATAGATTCTTTCTTTCACATTTTTAAGCGCTTCTCTTTTTAGTTTTTGTGCAAATTATTCTCAAACATGCACCTTATTGTGAATGTTGATTCTCGAAGCACAAAGGCAGAGACTGCTTTTCAGTAAATGTTAAAGCTCATTAAACCACATCCTGCAGAAAGAGCAAAGAATCAAAGATTATATGTGAGACATTTGAAATAAAGCTGTATAAGATTTTCTCGGTCAGAAAACACTACTTAAGCTTGTCGGTCAAAAATCAGCCAACACCTAAATAATGCTAACCAAAACCTCCTCATGGGGGCTTTAAAAGCTCACTAATTCTAAAGGTGACACAATTTTAATTTGAAAGAAAACATATATGTTTGGGTTAGTCTCTTGTCAAATACACTTCAACAGAAAAAAAAGCAGAAAGTAACGAATATTTTCACATTTTTAAATTGTTTTTATTTGTTTCTCTATCTGAGAAGTTTGCTTTTGTCTCTAAAATCATCCCAAAACCAATTGATTGATCACCTTAATGGTTTGCTATCATTTTATATTTGGGAACTTATCAATTGATTGGTGAAGTTTTACGTCAGACCAAAGAATTTGTAAATGTAGATGTAATCTCCGCCACCGGACATTTAATCCTCAGAGTGACACAAACTGCTCTCTGCAGAGAAAGCTGTGCCCACTAATATGAGATAGAGATACAGTATTCTATTTCTCAATGTGCACTGTACTCCCATCAGTGACGCACAATGGTTGGATTTTTCTTATTTAACACATCTCTGCAAAACGTGCTGCTCGGTATTGGCAGGTCTGAACACTGACAAGTCTCTAAAGCTTTCTAATTGGATAAACAGCATGTGACTGATCGCAGGCGGCGGAGTCCGAGGCTCCTGTCTGTTAAAATAAGTTAGTTTAGAGAGAGTCGAAATCGAAGTGAATTTGCGAAAATAGAATCAACAACCTTCTCTCTAAAGGGCTTTTCAACGAGGCATCAAGTTTCATTCGCTCCAGCTCGTTGTGGAGAGCCTGAAGACTTTTAAAAGCTCTAAAAGACACAGTGTGAAATCCTCATGGTCTGACATATACTTTAACACAGAGACAAATGGTACTGGGCCGCAGAACGCTTTCCCCTTTTTCCCCCCTTATGGGCAACCAGCCTTGCTTCAACGTGCTGAATCAGTGTACTCCCTTCTTGGATAATCTCAACCTTTATTTGTGTCTAATAATGGTCATGTCAGTAATAATGATCAAAGTATGTGTAGCATTAGCAGTAAAAGATAACTATGTTAATTCTAGAGGTTGAAGTGCAGCTGTAAGATTCACTTGATATTAATGATTAGAGATTATAATTGGAGTCGAGGGGTGGGGAAAGGGAGTGGGCTGCTGCAATGAACCAGCCCCCCATGATCAAGTGGAATCTACGAGACAAGAGAGATCAGAATATTGATGAATACTCTCAAACTGTTAATTAGATGTGTTTAGGCAGGCAAAACTTTAAGGGACAGAAAAACGGAGCTGATGGCAACAAAAAAAAGATGACAAACTAAACCAAAATCTTTTCCACAGATTCACACTCTTCACAGTTGTATTTTTCTTAGTGGTGCAAAAAAACTATTTGAAATTCTTTGTCCTCAAGGCTAGAAATGTACTTGTTGATGTGGAAAACCACAATAACAACCACAAAAAAACCAAACTTTGAAGAAGCGTCTCCACTGCAAACTTTTTAACCATGTCAGTAATTAGTATAATTTACATGACATTTACATCACGGCAGTATGGCAGCTTTCAGTAGCAGTTTCCACGTCCTGTTTATGCAGCCTTCTTTCACGTAACATCCAGTGTTTCCATGGCAACGATAAAAGTTTCACGTCTGTCATGGTGGCTCATCATGGGTGGCCGCCACAACAGGACACGTCCCGTTACAATCATCAAATTATGGATTTGTATCGCTTTGATAACTGTTGGAAATATTTGAGGTAATGTAAGAACTTAACAAAAAACTCAATTTATAATTAATTCAGATATTTTCATGGAAACATACTAATAAAATTCGACATATTGTACCTTTTAAATCAAGGTGAAAGATGTGCAAATCCTACTTGAAAATGCTGAATAATACATATAAGATATATATATTTTGTTTTACAAACTATCCACTCAACCACCATGAGTGACCACCAGGGGGCAGGCTGGTTCTCTACTCCCCTCATATATTAGCTTTCTAGCCTTAAACCATACACATCTGCCACACAGACCTTTTTTTAGTTGTGTAACAGTTCTTTTTTTCCCCCTTTTAAGTAGACCTATTTGTCATGGTTTTTTTTTTTGTTAGAATGGCTCAGAAATAGCTCTTCAACCTGAAAGTGACCACTTGTTTCCTGATCAAACGGAGCAGAAAGCCTTTAGCTAGCTCCATGTTTGAGTGATGAATGAATAAAACACTCTTTCTTTCTTTTTCCCTCCCTGTTGAGAGGTGATCCGTCTCCTCCAGAGCCTCTTATCTGCCTGCCGTTGTCTTCTCATCCTCTTTTTATTTTATTTTTTTATTTGTGTGTGTGCATGATTGTGATTTGTAATCCCTGTCTAACACCACAGGCAAATTGGTGGCGATTGGAGTCATCGATGAGAAGGACCCCACAGAGGAGAGTGGCAGGTACAAAGAGCACTCAAAATTAAAAAGCATGGCTCTGAATAAACGACTCCCACAGTTACCACAATAGCTGCTTTCAAATGAAGATAAGTCTTGCTGTTATTGTTCGAGCCTTCCCACAAATTGCAGACAGTGGCTAAAAATAAGGTTATTCTTCTTCTACTCGTGTGGTATTTCACTCTCTTCTCATTTGCTTTTAGATTAAAGACCCTGATTCAGAGGGTGGCCAAGGAATACAGAGAACATTTTAACAGGTAAGGCACGAGTCTGTGAAAGATGAACATCCAATTTATACATTTATTCTGGGATGGTGCGCTCACTGGGGAACCGTCGCCTGTCTTCTCTCACGAGCAAGTTTATGCCTTTGTCTGTTTTCGTTGAGGTTCAGTAGAAAAGGTAATTATGCAAAATGTCAACCCTCCAAATATAGGTGTGTTGTTTTTTTTTTTTCAGCTGTCAGTCAACAAACTCTGCTCCGGTTTGTATTAATGCATCATTTTGTGTTTCTCTCCCGCTCCAATTGTGAAATAACAACTAGGGATGGGATTTTTGTGTTCCACGCTGCGTTGTTTGGACCTGTTCTTTGACTGGAGAGGAACCAATCAAACAAGGCGCTGAATACAAGGGAGGAATATGCAGGAGATGTAGAATATCCTGCCTCTTGTAGTTTTACTTTTTCCTCACAAGGGACAGGAAGAGGTCGGCGAGAAAGATGCTTAAAAACAGAATGTGAAGGAAACAATACGATCAGATGTGCTGTTTCTTACTAATTGTATGTTAGCACAAACAAGGCGGTTGAATTTTGTGAATAACATTAAGTAGAGAATAAAAACATAGGAGAAAAGTAAATAGCAGCGTCCTCCTGCTTGTGTCCCGAACCTTAGTCTAAATAGAATAAACAATGTAAAAACAAGCTATCAATCTATTAAAATAATAATCCTGTTTGATTAGAGTAAAATCTGTGTTTAATCATGACTAGTTACAATTTCTAAATACTCGTTTTTACTGAAATACTTGAAATCTGCCACATTCAACGGCAAAGAAAGCTACCAGCAGTATTGGAACACAGCCCAAATAGTTGATTTAGAACTTTTAGGTGTCTTAGGCCTCGTCCACATGTAGGTGGGTATTTTTGAAAACTGAGCTTTTTATGTGCGTCTTGGCCTTTCATACGCTAACTGCGTTTTAGGTCACTGAAAACGCTCCTTCGGTTAAACTCCCTCCAGGGTGACGATTATAGAAACTCCGGTTAAGGTGTTCATGTGTAGACGGGGAAAACTGAATCCTGGGATTGATAATAACTTGTTTTTTTGACAGTAAAGGGAGACTGGATTGTGCAGTGCAGTTCATCTATTTCACTGATTATCCAACAAAAGAGGAACATCGGGCTTCATGAGCAAACACATTTTTTTTGTAATCACATCAGCTGATAATAACTGGCTGTGCAGGTTTCAATTTCTCTTCTGTCGGGGTTCATCACAGTTCATTATCAACATATAACATATGTTATGGGACAATCGTACATAAGCAGGGTAGTGTGAGTGCGCCCTCAGTCATCAGCTTGGGGACCCGCGCTCAAAACAAACAAGTGCTCAGATGAACTGTCCTGCATTCAAATCAGCTGTAAGGTCGCTCCTCTGTGTCCGACCCTCATCGCTGAACACTGCCAGCATGTCGGCAGGCGAAAAACAGGATTTCCTCCGAAAGGATTAATCCAAAAGAAGTCTCACATTTCCATCATCATGTTATGCTTAAGCTTTCTCACTCTGCCGCATCATCGTCCGTGTTTCTCAGAAGAGAGATTTCTTTAGCTTTTGAATGAAGGGGTGTATCTCAAACTGCCATGATCAAAGTGTTTCTCCCTCACCAGGCGTTCCCATTAGGACTGATTGAATTACACAGATCTCTATCATCAGTTCGACTGCTATCCGCCACACTTCTTCTCTTCTTCTTCTGTGTTTTGAACATTTTTGAGTGCGAGATCCCCACTGAGATCAGAGCCACCTGCAGGGCTCTGACGCAGCTCTCTGTACTTGTAATTACAAGTCGCAGGTGTCAGTGTCCCCCTCCTCCTCCTCCCTCTCCAGAGGTTGTTGAAGGCAGCGCAATGTCTAGAAGATCACAGGGGAAGACTGCAGCATGGTGCTCACTGTGGTGGTGTGCAGCTCAAACAGTGTTGGTTACATTTGAACAGAGCAGTGAATTCAGCAGTCGGATCTGAGAGGCTGTGTGTGGGTGAAACTCCCCTCAACCTCGTGCCTACATGTGCGTAAATTGCACTTGTGGGAAAGTCTGATTTCATCAGCTGGTGGGCTGAAATTCTGCAACAGTCGTTATTGTCTCGACAAGACCAGACAAGTAGATCTGACACAAAGGGTTCTCTCACGAACTGAGTCTCTTCGAGCCCTCGTTTGTGATCCAGATAAACACGTCTCTCTGTGTGCATGTGAACACCACATCCACAATATGATCAAAACCGGGATAGGGCTCATAACCAGCATACTCAAGTCCATGTAAAAACTCAGTGATAACCTTCCCTAGAATATACATGTAGTTTGAATCTGGCCTCAATGCCGCCCATGAAGATAACCAAAGGAGAGGTCTGTTAATACACACATGTATGTATGTATGTATATGGGGGGTCACCTGCGGTAAGATGTGACATTAAAAAAATAGACGCAGAAGTAGCAGACTGAGCAACAGAGTCCGCTACACGGCGCTATAATGAGAATATTTGGCTGTTTGCGTTCACACATACAGCTCCACCTGGAAATATCAGGAGTTTTCTGCAACTGTGAAAGCCCTATAACTTAGACATTTCAACATGACCACAGGGAGGGTTTGAGTAAATAGTCCAAACTTCAACTTTTTGCAGACATCTATGAGTGTTTTCCTCAAAGTGTGTTGCTCGTTCTTGCCCTCACATTGCTCCATGCGTTCTTGAACACACACAACTTTCTCAGTTGGCTACTCGCCCTTGTTGGCCGGTCTGTTCATCAGTCAGGCCAAAAAAAAAAAAAAAAGAGTCAGTGGGAGTGTGAAGACGGTTCTCGACTGGAAACAGACCCTGTGCTGTAAATATCTTTTTTTTTGAGAAGACAAATTTAAAAAAAATAAAGTTGTGTAAAGCATCAACATCACTGCATCAATATGGATTCACCGCCTGTCAGTCATGGACGTGTACTGATGCTTCAAACGGACTTTTTAATGAGTTCTGTTCCCCCGGTCTCGCCTGCTATTGTCAGCAAGATTATCCCTGACACAAAATGATTTTTATATCGCATGCACTGGATTTATTATAGAGTTCAGCCACTTCATAATCATGGCATTGATATAAGCTCAGGCAGCACCCAGGGGAGAAATGTGCAAGATGTAGCTGTGATTCAGTATGAATATAATATATATGTAGAGGCCTACATAATCAGTCATTCAGTGGAAGTCAGTCTCTGGACTTCGCTTCCCCCCCCCCCCCGTCTTCTCCCCCCAGTCTACCCACAATACACTCTGCTCCGACATAGTGCTGCACAATGAGATACAAATTGAATTCCTCCTCCTGCCTTATCGTTTAGATAAATCACCTGAGTCGCTTCTGTGGTTGGAGGAGACTGGAGGAAACGTGAGACGGCCCAGGAAGGCGCTTTGGGGATATATACATTTTATTTTTTTCCCTGCTTGGATGAAAATTATCCCAGTTTTCCACAGTGAGAACACGGGATTCCATTAAATGTGATTTTTTTTTTTTTTTCTGTGTTGTGCAGGAAAGTCAGTGTTCCAGTTTGTTGTAGTGATATGAAGCCCACTGAGACAGAAAAATTATTACTCTATTTATAGTGTTTCACATATTGTTTTTGATGCTCTGTTTCCCTTTCTCACGTCACTGATTTGTCTTGCCTCCCCCCAGAGACTTCCAGTTTGGCCACATGGACGGGAACGACTACATTAACAGCCTCATTATGGGGTGAGTTTTCACATCTGACTTACCTCCTCCTCTCTTTCTAATGTCACCCTCGTCTTTCCCTACCACTCAGTACCTTCTGTCAGATACTTAACCAGGTTGAGAGTGACTCATGACGCCAGCTTCTACTGCAAAAGACGCTCTCTTGTGGAGAAGTCAATTATACAGACGGACTGTCATTTCTTTCTTTTAGTGCTGCCGGCAATTTAAATCCCCTCCTGCCGTCATGCACTGACGCTTACAAAGGAAGCACACAAAGGTGGAAAAGGCTGCTGGAAATCTTCTCGTGAGAGGCGGGATTTTAAGAGCGATATAGGAGGTATAAGGCAATGCATGGATTAAATCTATAGCAGTCATGTGATTTAATAGCTTGACAAAGATCCGCACTAATGACGCCGAGAGCCCCGCTGCAAAAGCTCTGCGCCCGGGCCGAAACCGACCGTATGCGTGTCTTACTCTGAAAGGGCCCTGCAACTGACATCCCACACTTTTAATTAGACAGAGCCCCCCGCTAGTGCTACAGACCAGCAGGGCTGAAGCAGTTGGCGTGTCTGTTTTGTGTCTACCATACCTACTGTATCTAATTATGTGTCTTTGTGTAATGTTGTGGGTGTAGTGTGTAAGAATCCGCGAGCGTAATAGACCGCTGCAGGATGTTCTTTTAATTTGAGCATGTTATTGTTTGTATGATGGAGATTATAACCGACACGGTCTCCAAAGTGCTCTGTAATTAAAAGTGTGTCAGCGCGTACAGTAGAAGTCATTTTGGGATGCATGACAACACTGAGCGAGCAGATTCTTGGACGGTTCTTCAGATCGGACAGACACTGTTTTGTTTTTGGATGAAAGAGGTGATGAGCTTTCCTATTTTTATTTTTTTTACCAGTATATATTACATGTATTTCCTCAGGTTTAACAGGGCTGACTCTGGCCGCTGCAGCACTGGATTAATTGCCCTCCTTTTGAGGAATGAAATCCTGGCCTGTCAATGTCCACTAATTCTCTCCCTTAGGAGAGCCGTGGAAATAAATCTGATGGCTTTTTATCCCTCTTTCTGTCATCGCAGCGATTACTGTGTTCTGGCAGCGGTCTGTCTGGCGTAAGGCTGCCCCGGCTTTCACCAGAGGCACATAGACGCGCTTAGGAAAACGCACCGTCGCTCACACACATACAAGCATGAGCACCACTCTAAGCCCGAGGCTGTCTCTGCCTCTGTTTAAACGTGGGATTATTGCTAACCCCTTATATAGAATGCATTGTGGGCTGTGAAAATCCTGAAGTGATGTGAGGTGACTGTAAAGCCCCTGTGGGAAGAGGAAAGTTGTAACCATAGGAGGTGAATGAGCAGAGGGATCATTACATCCACACAAAGCAGCCGTCATTTCATTTGCATACTAAATGGTGCCTTTGTGGAACTTCTAATAAATGTGTTTTTGGAAACGCTCGCCATTCGAGCGGCTAACGGGTGACAATAGCAAGTCTCGGCTAACAAGTTTACAGTTTTTAATGAAGTCCTCCTTCAATAATTAAAGCTCAGAAAAAATGCCCCTGGTAACAGAAAGGGAAAAGAAAACTTGAGGAAAAAAAGAACTAATGAACTGCTGATAATGAGGCTCATTAAATAAGTAAAAAAAACAAAACAAATTAGTACTCTATGGATCTTAAGGAATGAATGATATTTATTTTTAAATATTTACAAAGATTTTAGAGAATCCAAGTATTAGTTTTTACTAGGAGCTAGATAAGAAGGTTTTAAGCCACCCACTGTGCATTAAGGGACGCTGGTGGCTGAGGGGCTTGTTGTGCACCATGTACAGAGGCGAGTGTCCTCGGAGCGGGCGGCCCAGGTTTGGCTCCTTTCCCGAGCGTTGTTCCCCACCCTCTCTCTAACACTATCCCCAGTTTCCGTCTCTATCCACTGTCCTGTATCTCCAATAAAGGCACAAAAAGCATATTTGCAAAGAGATCAAGTCTACAATTCTACAATTCACTGAGCAGACGCTTTTATCCAAAGCGACGTACATCAGAGAGTAAGTACAACACAAGCAAGGATCTAGAAAAAAAGGAAACAATGTCAGTAAGAGCAAACGATCAGCTTTGAGTCTGATTGGACACACAGGTGCTGACAGGAAGTGACCAGAGGCAAAGCACAACATTGAGGGCAGTTCTTGAGAGCTCTAATCAGTATAGAAACCATCTTATAAGTCATCGTTATCAAACAAAAACCATCGTCACTAAACATCATCAATAATATGGAGACCATCATCATTAAGGTAGTCAGTTAGTGTGTCACCGTGTAATGTCCCAGAAAAACAACAAATTCTCGTTTTTTTTCTTTTCATTTTGCAAGAAAAGTGGAAACAAGAAGATCGTTAAGTGAAGTTTGGAGGTGCTGGTCATCTTTGAAAGAGCTTTGCCTGTAGCTGCTTCCCCCCTGCTCCTAGCCTTGATGCTAACATAGCTACATAATCAAAACACACATACTAGAGCTGTATCTTTGCTCCCCCCCCCCCAACTCTCCACAAGAAGCCTGACCGAGTGATGCCTCCTGTTTGCAACATGCATGTTATGACCATGCTAATCTATGCTAACTTCACTAAACACTAAAGAGTAGCACTGAAAGGTTAGGCAGGATAGCAAGTTAAGTGTATTTACGCAAAACTCTGAAGTTTCCTTTAATAATCAACTTCAAAAGTGAATATAATGATTAGCCCTAATTATACTGCAGCTCTTTTCCCCAGCTTACAGGATATGACTTTAATGTGTGCTTTCAAGCTGTTTTAATGCTATAGCACAGTATATGACCCTTCATTATGGGCGGCAAACCCCGGTAGTCTCCACTCACAGAGGTGCACAGGCTAATCCATATTTATTTTAAATGGGTGCCATCTGTTGGAGTAGGCCGGATATCAGATGGACTACACACTCGTGTTGTGTGTGTGTGTGTGTGTGTGTGTGTGTGATTGCATTTCTCAGCTGGACAGAGTTGTGGGCCGTTGATGAGTCTACTGCTCAGGCGTGTGTGTTTGCGCTCCTGATCTCAGCTGGGTGGTGGATTGGGACAGTGATGGATATGAGCGTGCGTGCGTGTGTGATGTGAAATTTGTTGCCGGGTTGAGTAACACCGCAGGGATGTGAGTGTGGCAGCGCTGTGATGGACTGTTGGTGTGCCTGAGTGTGTGCCTGAGTGTGTGTGTGTGTTTGTTTCTAAGCACTTGGATACCTTATCTAAGCCTGGGTTTGCTGCTTTGTGCGAGACATGTGAAAGAGGGATTGCTTGTTTATATGACCTTGTTTGTTATCTCACTGAGCTCTGTAATTCCTCTGCTGATTTGTGGAAGTAAGAGGGCTTGAGAGCCAACTGTGTGTGTGTGTGTGTGTGTGTGTGTGTGTGTGTGTGTCTGCTTCTGTGTTTTCTTCTAAAATGAGGCAACACCACTGGACTTCTCGGCTTCTTTGTGTATGTTTAGTCTCAGCGTGGATGCAGAGTTACTTTCTGCTGGACTCCCTGCAATTCCCTTGTCAGCTATAATTTGCAGAGGTCTCTTTAACTGTGACCGGCATGGACCCATACAGCCCCTGAGTTGCACGCGGTTTGCATAAAAGATAGAAGAAATGCCACCCTGAAATAGGCCAGGCTGCAGAATCCTCCCTTTGAAAGAACGCCCATGGGAAAAGTTAGGTTTCTCTTTAGTACAAAGCCTTTGTTTATCCCTCTATTGTAATCTCCGTGTTGGAATTTGTTCTTTAAGAAACCACAATTTGTTCGTACCTAATGATGCACTTTGATAATGGCAGCTCAAGGTGCTGAGGTGAAGCAGATTAAAAGCTGTGTATTCTTGTTTTCCTCAGCGAGGTGACGGTGCCCTCCGTTATCATCCTAAACACTTCCAACGAGCAGTACTTCCTTCCCGGCGAGCCAATCGAGACCATGGAGCAGCTGGTCCAATTCATCAACAGCGTTTTGAACGGTTCTGCACAGGTACAAATCTTCCCATCTTCCCTCCTTCCTCTCCCTCTCCTGCTTCCTGTTTACACATTCAGCTCAGTGCAGCCCCCCCCCCCCTTTCCTCTGTTGTGTTGTACCATTGTAATCACACCAGTAGTCTTCATTAATCAGGCATGTTGCTTTGCATTCTAAGTCCCCCCCTGGAAAATATTTCCCCCCCAGATGAGGTATTTCTGCAATCTTCTTTTGCATGTTTAGATTTCATACCGCTGTCTCTTCTGAATAGATTATCTGCAATATTTCTGTCGTCTTACTCACACACTGGAATTACTACACGACTCTGTATTGTGTTCTAATCCGGAAAAAGAAATGTCATCGCCCTCCCCACTCTACACGAAACTCACCAGATGTATGAAACCATAAGCCAAACAGCCAGAGGTCCTCCTCTTTTTTCTTTTCTTTTTTTTCACCTCCCTAACAAAAGGTTCGAGCTATTTTTTGCTCAGCAGAACAAACCGCCGCCCACCAAATAAACTGGAACAGAAACCTCCATGTTTCTGCAGTTCGGTTCGAGCCAAAGCCTGGACAGCTTCAGCCTCTTAAACGTCGGTGATGAGGTGTCTCGGGGCTGGTTTGTGTGTCATGCAGAAAAACACACAATAATGACAGTTATATATGCATTCAAATACAATTAAAATGATGAACATGGTGCAAAAAGCATCAATAGTTTCTTTAAGGAGGCCTTTTGCGTGTTTTCTTAGGAATGTGGAAACTTCTTGCGTTTCTCCTGAGAAGCTCAAGCACAAACCAGTCAGAGAAAGACAGAGTTGACCGGCCTCAGGGTCTCTTTTGTAGAATTATTCAGAGAAAATCTCCACTTCCATGTCTTCCACGGTTCATAAAACTAATTTCTTAATCCTCGACCATTTGCCCATTTGAAATGAAGCAAGAACAACTTTATAAAAAATGAAAAATCCTTCCTCCCTACTTATGCAGTCGTCACACAGCGTAAGCCTAAGTCTGTGCAACAGCTGTTTCCACAGAAATCATCTCCTGCCCACCTCCAGCGCGTCGACAGAAGTCTTGCTCAGTCATTGCTCACTAATTGGCCGTCCTGACGAATTAGCGTTGGGACGGATCACTCATCCACAGTCCAGGTGGTGTTTCCAATAAATGAGCTCAGGCAGACGGGACCTGCTGGACGGTAAACAAACCAGAGTGGAAGCAGTTAATCAAACAATGCTTTAAATGTCTGACCATATGAACAAGAAGATGCTGTTATGTTACTTCGGGAAATGCCCCAAGTTATTGCATCAGATTAAACATTACAAACTCTCGTTGTTCATATGTAGGCATTAAATGTTGTCTCTCTGCAGGCATACGGAGGAGATGGCATCATCCAGAGGATCAAACGTGTGGCCTTTGATGCTCGATCCACCATTATGGTAAGTGAGAGTTCAAACCAGGCTGCTACATATACACACACTTTTCCCTCGGACTTCACCTGTAGTTTCTCCTGCCAGACCCCGAGCACTTTATCTGTTCATAGCCCGAGTGGGCTGATGTGAGAAAACACCAGGATATTCTTCAGAGAATTCATCTCAAGTCAGTGCATTGATAAAGGCAAATATTCTCATCACACCGTCGTATAGCAGACTCTGTTGCTTCGTCCGCTACTTCTGCACCCCCCCCCCCCTCGCCACCCTTCCTGTCTGACAGAGGGTCAGGAGAATCTCCGGGGCAGTCCTCCTAAAACAATCTCGATATTTTCAGAAGTGAAGATGTGAGAACGACTAGTCACTCTCTTTTTCTTTTTTTTTTTAAGCTCTGTTTTGGTCTCCACCAGCTTGACGTCAGTTTCATGTTTTTAGCAGCTTAAATTCCCTTTGCTAGCTACTTCCTGTCTGCTGTTTGGTGGTGAAAAGAGTTCATGAAGTCCAGAGTAGTAGATATTGCGGATAAACCAAAGCAATGGGCTGCAAGGAGAGAAAAACTTTTGGTAGTCGTAAGTCTTAAATGGACTCAGGCAGAGTAGAATGATAATACATTTTTTTGGCTCGTTCACATAACATAGTCATTTTATTATATAATGCATATTCCGACTTTATAATAAGGTTGGTTTAATGTTACTGTGATTGATTTAACAAAGTGACCTGCTACAATAATTGGTGTTCTTCTGTTCCAGCCCTGATTTCTCTACAGCTCTACATTTAAACCAATCATCATCATCATTATTATTATTATTATTATTATTATACTCCTGAACACCTTGCTTCACATACGCTTCTCACCCTGCTTCACCTTGGCTCTGTTTGCCAGTCGAGGGTAAATACTGTGTATATATGCAACCTGTGCCAAGTTCAGTAAAGCTGTAATACAAATGCCCCGAGTTTCCTGCTCTCTCCCTGTGGGAATAAAAAACAACTTTCAGAGGACGAAAACCTGGCGAATATGCAATGCAGGCAGTAAACACAGAACGGGCAGGGAGAAAGCAGGCAGCAGAGCGAGGGAGGAGGAGGAGGAGGAGGTGGAGTAATGAGGGAGCAGAGAGGGTCAGGAGGCTGAACCTGCTTCTCCTCCCACTTTGTCTCTGAAGTTGCTGCTTCTTTTTGGGAGAACGGGTGTATTTTTACCGAGGGTGTGATAGGAATGTAAATACAGCTGTGTTGTTGGTGCTGAAACCGCGGGTAGTGGAGCTGCCCCTTAACTGTGTCCTTAAAGAAACGCAGAAAACTCTTCAAGGGAAATTATAGATTTGTATTTACGGAAAAAGGTGAGATAAAAGGTAGAGGGACTTCTGGAGCTTGTAGAAGTATTTTTTCCTGAAGGTTTAACATTTCAGCTGTCCAGTAAGAAAAGTCTTAAATGGACTCAGGCTGTCAGAAATCGTCAAATCTTTTGCTTCCAAACTTAAATTATGTGTCATAAAGCCGTGTTAGAGCATCATTTTCAGGATTTCATTGGATTCACTGCAAGCAATTAGCACCAAAGTAAAAATCTGCGTCCTGTCTAAAGGGTTCGTTTTTCACCTGTAAGAGAGAGGAAATAACCCCCCCCCTCCCTTCTTGCTTCCCTAAATTTAGCACGCTGCAAGTATCACCATGGCTACTCTCCCTCACGGTGCCATGATATGACACAGAGGAGATAGGCAGCAGCCATCAGCTTGCCCCCAGAGAGCCCATCTGAATGCACGTCTGACAGGAGCATGAGGAAGCAGCCATTAGACCCAATGACTCATAGCCAGCTCTGTTAGCATAGCATACCCATTTCTACCTCATGTAGCATCACAGCAGTGGCAATTACCATCCCTCTTCCAGTGACAGTGACTGGAGGGGATGTGAATATTTCTCGTCTTCTCGGCTCAGCGGCTGACAGAAGTTGTGACTGAGGACCCCCTTCTAGGTACATTGTATCCTATTATATTAGAGCCAAATGATGAATCCTGCTATAAAAAGGCCAAGTGACGCCATTTTCACTTGGTTCATTTGAAGAGGAACTGTCCTAAGCGGGGCCATCTTTGTGCGCTGAGGAGACGAGGGGTTGTGTTTCTAACAGTGTGTGTGTATAACCTTAAATAAGCTTCATTTTTATCTTCCAAGATCAGAACTTGGATGTAAAATAGCCGTTCTTGTCATGATTTATTTTCATGTCAATGACTTGGAACGTGTTCAAAATAGCAAATTAAATGATTACAGCAAACAAAAGAAGAAGCCGGCTTTGTGTGTACAGAAAACATCTTCTCACAGACTGGTGAGTAACAGCGAGTTCAAACTCTACCGTGTAATAGTACAACAAACCCCAGAGGATTCCAGATAAAAGGCTACAACTCTTCAATATGGCAGTGAATGTAAAAACAAACCAAAACAAACAGGGCAAATGAGACTAGAATAAAACAATACAGGCTCTCTTAAATTATGAGTGAAATTTAATTCATTCTAAAATATTAAAGCCTGCCGAGTTTCTGCAAATGATTTGTGACCTGGCTTCTGAACACACTCAGCCCAGCTTAATGGTCTAATGCTAATGAATGAATATATGAATGAATAAAAACATAAAAGCCAGTCTGCCATCTTTTAACACAAAATATTTTTGGATCAGCCCTCCAATAGTAATTTAATTCACTCTACTTAAAGCGGTGAGGCTTTCATTACTGCAAACACCGGCTGTAAATAGAGATCTAACACTTTTATTAAACGGCCAACTACACATTCTGCACCTGTGCTTCATTATTTTTGAAGGTGCTGAAAGAAGGCAAGAAATAGAGCGTTTGTTTGTGTGAGCTCTGTGGCACAAACAAAATAACTAACAGGGCCGGATTCTACCAATTTAAGGTCGAGGGCAAAAATGAGCTCCTGGCCCCCCTTCATCCTTGGTCTTCCCACTTTCTCTGTTTGTGCATTTATATTTGCCTGAGCAGTGCACCAGCCAACTTATTTATATTCAATCCCAAACCCTAAGACTCAAATCACACCTGGAACATGATCCCCAAACTCCAGCGAGTGGTAACTTTTTCATCTGAATGAGTCGGCACTTTCTTTTTCTGCATACATTCAGCCGGACATTTTCTTTTTGGGAATCAGGGTTATCATGTTGAACATACTTTGTCCTGCCAATGACATTATTAGTTGACAGAGGAGCTGCGCCAGCTTTTCCAATAACCAGTTAATTTCACCGTTTGTATGGCCATTTTTTTTCTGCATTCTGCCATATTTCACAGTTTAGCTTAGTAGCTAGCTAGCCGTGTATGAAGAGGACATCCCGACTTTATTTTTGGCAAAGCTCTAATCGGTCAATTTGCTACTGTGATATTAAAGCACAGAGCGCTTTCGCATCAACGTCAGTTAAGTTCTTAAGGGCTCATTGTTTAGGGAGGAAAATGGTGATTCTGCATAGTAGTGCTACCTACCAATCTAAGTTGTTAATATGATTTAAATCAACACAAAAGATGAGGGTGCAATATCCATAAAGAGTCCACTGGATTTAAAAATTGTAAATAACAGAAGCCGAAATGTCATCTTTTCTCTCTTCTGTTTGTTCTTGCTGTTCTCTTTTATTCCATTATTTCTCTAACACTCCCATTTTTGTCTTCCTCTCATCTTTTATCGCCTCTGTCAACACATCAGTCAGTGTTTCGCAGCTCTCCACTGCTCGGCTGCTTCCTCTTCGGCCTACCGCTGGGTGTAATTAGCCTGATGTGCTATGGCATCTGCACAGCCGAGTCGGATGACGGGCCAGATGACATTGACGCGCTCAAGAGGGAGGGCCTGACGGACGAGGAGGAGGAAGAGGAGGAGGAGGAAGAGGAGGAGGAGGAGAGGCAACGCGCCGCTGAGCTGGAGGGCCCCGACGAGGAAGACGACGGCGGGGAGAAGGATCCCGAGGAGAAGAAAACCGATTAACACAGGGGGCTCCCCGCCGGATACAGGATGATAGGCCTCGTCGAATTCAGTGACATGAAACTCGAAGACATATCAATGTATTACAGTTCTGCTTCTTTGTCTTTCATATCACTTCCCCTTAACGCCCCTCTAGCACAGACGACACACCCCCCCCCCCTTTGAGTTTTGTGTGTCAGTTTATAAGGTCAGCTGCTTAGCAGAGCCATCGAATCACTTTTCAAAGACGAGAAGGGATGGCTGTGAACCAAAAATACAACTTATTTATTATGATTGGACAAACTAGTGGTTTTCTCCATGTGATATGTTACCTTTTCTTTGTTTTGTTGTTTTTGTAACCACCTCAATGCCCTTATTATCTTTGTTTTTTTGGTCATATTCCACATTTTCTTTCATTTACTGTTCAATATGATAGCCTAGAATATTAGAAGCTGTAGATAGTAGATATATCTTGCCTTCAAACTGAATTCAACTTAAATACAGAGACATTTTGTCCCCCATCCCCCCCCACCTCAAAGTGTGTGTAGGCTTATCACATAAAGCGATTGGCGTTTAGAAAGCAAAGGAAGTGCCCAAGAAGGAAACTCTGCCATAAGTGAATCGTGCTTTTTCTATTGTATGTTATTGCCTGAAATGAGTTCTTCTTCTAAGGAATGCAAAGTGCCGAGCATTTCATGTTATGTCTCATCCCAGCCACCTGTAAGCTGTTACTGTCCATTCATAAACAGAGCTGATGGAGAACAGCTGGAATGGTAATTGGTTTCAGTCTGTCTGATGCTGAAATATGGCAAATGCACCTTTTTTTTTTCTTTTTTTTTTCGTACTTGTTTCAAACCCAGCCTGCTCAAAATTCCCAGTGTAGACGGGTTGTACCTGTGCAGCAGACACCCATAACATGCACCAGTAGTTCCTGCAGCTTTTAACAAGACGTATTCTTCAGATGGACTGGCTCTGTCTGCTTCCATATTACAATCTGTTCCCCGTCACTGGTTGCTATTATTGAATTCAGTAGGCAGGTTGAAGTTTACATCCAAATGCACTGAAAAGTACAGCGAGGGTTTAAAATATAAGGACCATCTTCCTACTACTAAGTCCCCTCCTCTTTTTTTTTTTCTTGGTATAAAAGAACTGAGAAACTGTAGTGGAGGTTATTTTCAGCTTTCTCGAGGCAAATCCATCTGATGGCTGATATCAAGTAGGGGGTTATGGCTTCCTCCAGGGCAAAGGTTGGCCACTTCACTTTATGACAAGAGCAAGTGTTCCTGGAGTCTGCTGCACTCAGTGTAATGCCGTTTTTTATGAAAAACACACAGTGGAGTGCACCTTGTTGGATTTAGGGTCTGATGGTGCCTTTTACTCAGCGGGGCATTTCAGAGCAACCTGAGAGCTTGTGACATCATCTTGAGAGTTAGGAGAACATGTGTCCTTAAGGAAGGCAATAAAAATGACAGAAAACCTGCTTAATGAACACAAAATCTCAGGCTTTGACTTAATGGTGTTTCCATGGCGTTAGGTCATTTCAACCCTTCTCTCATGTGTTGCCTGGAACTACAATCCATTTTAAAACTCTTATGAAACCAGTGAGAAGAGCTGCGGAGCCCCTGAAGTCTTAAAAAGTAATATCTTATGCACACAAATTATGAGATAATTATCTTGTGCCCACTAGTTATTATGTTGTGTGCACAAGCTACCATCTAACTTGTGCAAACAATGTGTTAATATCTTGTTTGCAATATCTAATTGACTCGCATGAAAATAAAAAACATTTGCATTCAGTAAAAATATTTTCAAATTACATAAAGTCAAAAACTGATGATGTAATTAGTGTGTTCACTTTCCTGCTTGGAGAAGACAATTTAAACTACTTCAATGTCTGACACACATACATGAAGCTACAGGTAGCAGCTATTTAGCTTAACTTAAAACAAACAATTCAGGGCGATGGCTAGCCTTGTTTAGTCACATGATGATGAAATCCACCAGCAGACACTTTAAAAGTTACTAATAAAATCTTTAAAGCTACATCTTAAAAGTATAACTTCACTTTGTGTGAGTCTTCTTTAGTTGCCTTAACACTAATAATTTAACAGACAATAAAAAAAGTTGTTAGCTATAAGGTAGCTAACAAGCTTAGGAAAGAGGCATTCTAGCTTTGGTGTTTATGCTAAGCTAAGCTAATCAGCTGCTGGCTCTAGTTTTATAGCCATTCAGATGATATATTTGTGTTTCAGTCTTCTCTTCCAGTTCTAAGCAGGACAGGAAATCATTTGTGTTTTTACATTACTCACCAGAAACATTCATGCATTCAAAGGCCGACGTGACGCTCAGAGCTGCAAAGTAATTATAAGTTTGAAATGAGCAATGTAGGCATCTGTAACGGGCTTTCTCTCGGGGGGGGGGGGGGGGCTTTTAACACGCTGTAATGAACGAGCATTAAGTTCATGCTTGACCTCGGGAACAGAAGTGTAACACGTTCATCTTAACGCTCCACTCTTGTAGATCCACGTCCTGATTTATTTCACACATTTGGTAAAGTTTCACAGACTCGTTGACAACACAGCAGACCGTTAAGATTCTAAGAGTGGGCCTTACCTTCAAAAAGGGTAATGAATGTTTGGAGCAGTTTCTGCGAGTATCCCCTTTGTGTAACTTTGTGTTTGATAGCTGAGGAATAAGACGGCTCCAGGATTTGATATAAATGTGTCATCGCTCTTTTCATTGTGCTTTTGCAGCTCAGTTAATCTGGTACCTTGGTCGACTTAGGCGCCTCGACCTAAGCACACTAGTTGTTTTGAATACGCAGAGTTTTTCTGTGTTGTTACTGTGAAACTGCACTTACGGAAACCATGCCCTCACCTTGCCTTCTGGTCTTTGTAGTTGCCTACCATTCTCTGCCAAACTTCCTTATTGGGGTTGAATTGAGACTGTCACACTTTATAACAGGATTGAAAGATTGAAATAAAGATTGTCCTCTTTTTTTTCTCGTCGACTGCTTTCTATGTTTTCCCTTACATTGACATCTTTTTTTTCTGCCCTGTCTTCCACTTAGACATCTATTTCTCCATCTGTCTCACACTGTCACACGCGCAGATGTTTTTCTTTCTCGGCAGGCGTAATCCGAGGTAGAGGTGTCTCCTCAATTATAGCCTCACATAATCACATTTTGGGATATCTCGGCTTAACCGCGGCTGATTGCATTTCTTGATGTGAAACTCATTTATTTTGCTTCTCTTTTGGGAATAACGGCGCTCACTTATCTGAGACGTGACTCTACATAATGAAAAAGCAAAATGTGGCTGTGTACTTCCTGAAAACTGACCCTCGCCAACAGAGATTGAAGCGGGGTGGAGGGGAGGGGGAGTAACTTTTGGAAACGGTGATTGGTTGGTTTTATGGTCTGAAAAAGAAGGATGTTCATTTTCCATCCTCTGTCGTTCTAGGGATAAATTACCACAAAGAGGGAGATAATATATGACTACATCAGAATCAGTGTCATCGAGTGGTGCTGACGCAAAAGTAATTCATCGCTCAATTACCTCGCCATATATTCTGAGAATGAGTTTTATCGTGTGGTAAATGAAGGAGGCCTGCTGTCTCTTTTTCTTTCTCAGGACCAACAATCTAGCGCACCAGACAAGGGCAATTACACTGCTGCTCGTTCTGACGCCTGTCTTATGTTGAACTGGCAAATTAAAGCGAGATAGCAATCATCTCATTTCTGAATCACATGGGAGGTTCTCCGGGTCGTCTGTTGGGTCAAGGTAAAGAGATGGGTAGTGATTTGAGTTAATGCTTTGGGGATGTATTTCAAGGCTCAGTTTGAGTCAATCATCTCGATGAGAAATGGATGATTTCCTTTTGTTCCGCTATGGGAATAAGCCTTCTGTTGTTGTCTGTGGAGGCTTTTGCTCTTAGTTAGAAATGCTGCATTGTTTTTTAAAAAAACACCTCAATGCCTAATTAGGCAAACAATGTAGGTAAATGTGCCCTTCTGAGAGATCAGCCCCTTCAATAAACAGCTTTTTTTGTGCGTGTGTTTTTCGCTCCATCATCAGCAGTTAGATAATGTCTTGCAGCAGCCCCGTCTGACTACTTTTTCTTGGTGCTCGCGACTTCACGTCGAAGGTTCAGCTCGGTTTAATAGCCGCTCGTCAGCTTGTCAGTCGATAGATAGTGCTTGTTACTGTTGTTTTCTTCTGAACGGCCTGACATTTTGGAAAACTTTTCTTCAGGGCTGTGTGAAAATGACTGCCTGCAACTGTTGCCCATCAAAGCTCATCGAACACACACACACACACACACACACACAAACTCCTGCAGAGGATACTATCTGGAAGTTGAAAAGAAGATAGAATAAACACATTGGAGACAAGAAGACAGTGTTTCAAAAATATCTACTAAATTGTTCATTGTGATTCTTTATGATGGATGATCAGTCAGAAAACAGAAAATGAAGTCATAAAATGATTGAATGATTGTGTTATGGGGGCTGTTAGCACAGATTTTAACATGATTTTTTTAATCTATTTTAACATGCTATTATGTAAACTTCAGTTCTCCATAGGACCCAGCCTGCATGTTGCCACATCTATTTACCATCCACTTCCTGTACACCCCATGTTTTCAGTTCTCTTAGATGTAGCTCTACAGCTAAAAGAGGAAAGATTTACTCAATCAAAATGAACACTAGTACCATTATTAACACTATATCTGAAAAATCGGCTAGATTTTAGCTAAATGCAGGCCGCATAATTGTAGGACAAGCTTAGTAAGATAATCTCACTTCTTTTCTTTAAATAGCTATTTGCTTAGCATAGCTTTTTCCTTCTGAGACCTCATTAAAAAAAAACAATGTTTTATTGCAGAACTTTTGTACCTCGTATGAGCATTGGAAAGACAAATGTCTTATGAGCTCTTTTTTAAAATTTGAATTCAACACTAATGTTTGCCGCCTAGCGTTCACTTTTAGACAGTGCTTGGTTCCTGGGGGCTCGGTCAAGGCTTTAGACTAAATATTAATGGACGAAGCCTGAGCGACCTCAGATGGCGGTCTCCCTGCTGGAAATCCTGTCTCACCCTAACTTTCAGTCAACCTGACGACATGCTGAGAGCTGGAGCTGAGGATCCTTGAAGAACACTTGCACCACACCCGTCTGCCATTAGGTCAGCTACACGCCTTGTTGTGAATGAGTTTCAGAAAAAAAAAAAATCACCCTTGTAAAAGTGTGTGCCAATCGAGACATGAGCTAATCACACATATTTTGTATTTTGAACCAGGCTGTAAACATTTTAATTTCTGCTGTAAAAACTGTCTTTTTTTTAATCTGTGCATGTGACTTCTGGTGCTTCTGCCGCCAACCTCAAGCGGACACTCGATGAACAGCAGTTTTTTTTTGCGCTTCCTTCTGCATCTTGTTGGAGGTTGCCAAATGGTCAAGGTCCTTTAATGCCTAAAGCAGCCTTTCGTAAACTGAAGATTGCCGCGACCCGCTTTGAAATACAAAATTACTCCGGGGCCCATTATAATGTTTTTTTTCTTTTGACTACAGCTATAATTTTCAGTAAGGGTAAATTATTGGACATTACAACATGATATTATGGGAAGATAGACACAAAAGTTTACTAAACAACATGTCCATGAATAGTCATGACACGCCTTACTAATCACTTAAAGGGTTGATTCATGGTAAATCATCATTATTGTGATTTTTTATTTTTCACAAGATGAAAGAAGACACAAACACAAATGTTACAATATGTTAAAAAAACAAAAACATTAAAATGTAAGTTTGCACAGGACAGCAACAATGTCTGTGTCTGCTCTTCTTTACACATAAAGACACACACAGATATCACCTGTGGGTTCAATTAATTATGTAAATCCACTCAGTACTACAAGGAGATTACTTTTTTATTCTGCATACCTTAAAAACCACATTTCTGTTTCCTATGTCTCCCATTGGATCTGTGATATATATATTGTGTAGGCCTCCTCAACGTCCTTTACCTTTGGCATCTGCATTGACTTCATGCTTAACGAGAGATTTCAGTACCTTTGAAGATAACTCATAAACTAGTTTAAGCAATCAAAAGTCGCCTATCATTGTGTATGTAAATCTAAAGTTGCAAGAAGAACAGTTTGAATAAATAAAAGGCAAAGAAAGCCTTATTTACATGCATCCATAACAACATATTTAATAATCACAACATTTCATCTTTCCCAGTGTTGTGTTGCCTAACTTCTTCACCTGCCTAGTTACGGTCGATAAGCTGTGTGTGGATGCTGTTTTGGGGGAAAAGTGTCGAGGGGTCAACTAGAAATCATAAAACTCAGGAGGATTGCAGCTCATTGCCTCATCCTGGACGCCATATCTCGGTTTGTGACAAATCTTTATTTATAGCCGGAGCGTACAAATGATGTGCAGCTCTGCAGAGAATAACAAGAGCATGGCCCACATTATCCCTGTCACCTCTTAGTGCACTGTAAGCATTTCCCCAGCTCATGTGTTTCTGTTATCACTCCATGCCAAGGAGCTGCTGCCACACAGCAGTCGCCTAATGATGTTTCCTGGGTTGTTATCATTTACTGATGGGACCTGTCCCCTTGGGGGGATGGGGGGGGGGGAGGGGGGGTTAAGGGTGACTTACAGTACCTGAGACGAGCTGTTCTCTGAGGAGACGACATGTACCTGGGCGCAGCTGGTGGCACCATTTCCATGGCCTAACCTGATTCCATATCCAAAGAGCTTAAAACCCAACGTTCACAGTCAAAGAAGGAGACAGGTTTCTCAACATACAGTGGAAATGTTGCCGTGTGTGTGAGTGCTTCAGCATGTATTTTAATCTGATACTTAGTCCCTTCCCTTCACACGGGGGGTTCAAGGCTGTTACGTGACCCGCTTTCTAGGTCCAGAGCTTTTTTTTTTTTTTTTTCCTCAAGCCCTCTTACGGGGACCGTAGCCAGCCGGGTTTTAATGACATGTACGACCACTGCACTAATGCACACACTACTCTTAAACTCTCCGGTGATGTGAACACACTTTATTTAATGCCCTGGCCGTAGAACTGGGAGAGCTTGTTGGAGAAAAAAAATAACCTTTGAACCCTTAAAATACTGGATTTTCCCAAAGGAATACTACAGTGACATGAACATCTCAGTGAAGAACGTGGGATTTGTTGAAGTGGAGAGCTTTAGCACAATAATGCTTTCAGTGGGATGGGGCTCATGATCCAGAGCACAGCAAAATACTGTGTAATTTATCTCCACACAAAAACAAAGATCTGCACTTAAAACAGTTAAGTTACTCATATAGAGCTCTTTAAAGATTCATGAAGTTCTCTTAATTATAAATACACCTGTAGCTAAAAGGGTAGCCTGTGTGTTTTCTGTGTAATTAGAGTTTGGACCCCCTGCTGGTGTCTTTAAACATTTAAAGCTCATTCGATGTCTGATGTTAGGCTTTTATGTTTTCCATCTTTTATATCAATATCCAGTTGTATTATCTTTTTAGATCAGGGTGTCATCTCACACATATTAAACAAGTAACTTAAAATAAAAGAAGACATCAAAAAAACAAACAAAAATGAATTCAATACAGTGTGGGAAATCTAACGTTTCAGAGGAATTCATTGTGCGGGACAGATCCGAGCCTTCCCCCCTACCCCCCCCCCCCCCCCCTTCTTCACACGGCCCTGTATCCCTAAGCTGGGAGAAAATGATGAAATTTAAAAAGTACCAGACGCCTTTGAGAGTTCAAGTGAGCAATGACGCGTCGAGCAGAGACGGCGGCTCGTGATGATTCCGCAGAACAGCGGCGGGAAGTGCTGTTAGTGGTCATTACTGAGCCCACTTTAGCATCTGACAACACGGAGGAGGAACAACACGGCAGAGGAACAACACGGCGCCTGCAGAGAGTAATAACATCTTACTGCTCCTGTGGCCACATTCGACTCAGGCCAGTGGTTAACTCTGCAATCTAA